ATGAGAATTAACTTTTGAGTGCTGGCATGATGGTGCAATTCTAATCTGAGGAAGACAAGTCATCACATGGAAGGATTGGAGGGGGAATTATTCATATGCTAAGTTTTATTGTCACATTTCTCTGTCCATGAATCTAATGACTCATCGCTTTACTAGGATTGTCTTCTGGTTCATTTGTCAAGAATAAAAAGCACAAAAGAAGTGTGCTTGTCAATCCAGAGGCACGGGGCAGGTAGCCAAAAAGGAATTGACAGCAATACAAATATTAGTAATACAGACTTGAGACAATGCATAACAATGAAAAACAAGAATGTCAGTTCAACTTTTAAATCTCAAACGAGGTAGAACAGAATGTTTCCCCAATAAAATAATAAACCATAAACTAGCTTCTTTCAAGCTATTACGCTGTCCCGTGCCATCCTGAGAAACGAATGAACTCTCTGGATTACAACTCACTGCAAAAAATACCTGCCTGAGAAATAAATTAATCCACTGGCCTTATCCTTCTTCGCTTTGCTTACACAAACCAGAAAAAAGCCATCATGTTCGACTCCTCTTTACTTAATCCAATTCCTAGCACCGTAACGCACGATTATATTGACAAATGACATGTTTTACAGGCTTGCTAGCGACTTCATAAAATCTGCTTTGAACCTCTCTTGGAAACTGCATCAAGAATATTGGATAAGTGGCAGGAGAAAAGTTACTTCTGTCTTCTGGGCCTTGAAGTCCCCATTAACTCACTTTTCTCATCTGTGAAAACCTTGGCATCTGTAAGCTCCTCAAGCTGTGATTTAACCCAGCAATTAGTAAATCAAATGCCTTTCTTGTTTAGTCTGATCAATGTACAGCGTGCTTGGCTGCAGTCTATGCCTGTTGCCAAAAGGGGTTGTTCTAAGATTGTTGGCACAGTCCTACTTTTAGGAATTGGGAAATGGGAAACAGGAGACATGACTTTGCTGGTAGTAGCTTTAAGGCAGAGGTGGGGAACCATGGCCCTTGTGGACTTCAGATTCAGGAATTCTGGAAGTTGAAGTCCACAAGTCATAAGAGGACCATGGTTCCCCACCTCTGCTCTAAGGAATGGGTGAAACCTCACTTTTCCTCTACCCCAGGGGTCTTCAAACTTGGCCCTTTTATGACTTGTGGACTTCAACTGCCAGAATTCCTCAGCCAGCATGTCTGGCTGAGGAATTCTGGCAGTTGAAGTCCACAAGTCATAAAAGGGCCAAGGGGAAGACCCCTGCTCTACCCCATAAGGACCAAGGGGCCCACAGAAAAACAGCCAAGAACTTGCACAGAAGTTGTATCAATGACTATGACACTGAGAATCCTTGTATCCCCAGTTAAATATAAGACCAGAAGGATAGCCAATGGCTCCTGATTCCAAATGTGATTTCTTCTTGGTTCCATGTGTCAAATCAGGGGGGTCCAACCCCGGCAACTTTGAAGATTTGTGAACTTCAACTCCCAGAATCCAACCTTGGTCACTTTAAGGAGTTGAAGTCCACCAGTCTTAAATTTGCCAAGGTTGGACAACCCTGATCTAGATGGTCTCCAAGGTGCCTTCCATCCCCTGCATTCTGTGATTATCTGAGACTATAATAAATATTTTGAGGTCGTAATGGAGAAGGCTACATCCCCTTGCTGGCTGGGGAATTCTGGGAGCTGAAGTCCACATATGCTGTCTGGGGGATTCTGGGAGTTGAAGTCCACAAAATTTAAAAGTTGCCCAGGTTGGACACCCATGATTTGACGCATAGAACCAAACATGGGTGCGCCATTTACAGAGGCAGAAAACTTGCAGGAAACTAAAAATAAAATTAAAAATAAATAAATCCAAAGGGCAATTTTGGCCCAAGATCAGTCTCTGAGCTGCTACGTGCAAAGGCTGTGTTCTAACTCAGCCCTGAGTTCCTAGCAGTTGGCCTGATGTTTTGAAAAGATGCTCCCGAGTTCTTCGGCCTTTGGAGGAGAGAGGAGAACTCTCAGAGCCAAAGCTTTTCCATGTGGCTATCAAAAAAAAATTCCCCAATCCCAGATGCAGACACCAGGACTTCCAAGCAAAGGAGAAATGCCACTTTAATCCTATTAGCACAGAAGCTGATGACGGCTGGCCAAAATCCAGGACTGGCAAAGTGGATTTTAGGTATCAGAGCAAATTTCCCTTTCAAAAGGACAAAGTCTGACCTCACTTTCATAATTTTCAATGCTGGCTCTCTTTCTTTCAGCCCCTCCTTCCTGAAACAGCACCCACCTCCCAGTTGCTAATACCCAAATAGTTTGGCCAACAGCGCCATCTAGTGACTTCCACATGGAATGCAGCCAGAGCAGAATTTGGAATTTGCAGCGGCTGTGATGCATATTTCACCACACTAATGCAGCGGTTTGCATGAATGTATTTCACTGCATTCCTGAGCAGGATGCAGGCCAAAAGCAACTGAACTGCAGTGGTTGCTTGCAATTTGAGTGCTGGGAAAAGCAAGTATAAGGGTTTGTTTTTTCCCCCCCTTTTTGGCTTAAATATTGTTTTATACACATGCAAAATAAAGATCTGAAGATCTGTTGCTTGGACAGCATGAGGAATAACTCCCAACCGAATACTGTAAATATTATCCATTTTCTGTACAACTCTCTTACAGGTAGTTACTTGTCCAGCGTTGTCTATATCAGTTTTATTCAACCTTGGTCATTTTAAGGAGTGTGAATTTCAACTGCCAGAATTCAGTTCAGTTCCCAGCATTCAGTTCAACTCCGTGTCGGCTCTGTTATTTTGGGAGTTGAAGTCCACATGACTAAGGTTGAACAACACTGGTTTATATCAATAAGTGGGAGTGCTTGTTTTGAAACTACCATTCCAAGAATCGTTCATCCTTGTCCATGTGGGCAGAAGGTGCTGGATGTTTATTTATTTATTTATTTATGAGACTTATATACCGCTTTAAGTGCAAGCACTCTCTAAGCGGTGTACACCAGTAAGCAATGTATATATATATTTACATTGCCCCCAACAATCTGGGTCCTCATTTTACCTACCCCGGAAGGATGGAAGGCTGAGTCAACCTTGAGCCGGTGAGATTTGAACCGCTGACCTGCTGAACAGTCAGCTAAAGTGGCCTGCAGTACTGCACTCTAACTGCTGCGTCATCTCGGCTTTCAGCAGTTCTAGATAGACACAATGCCTCACTGGTACAGGACACTGTTTTCTCAGTGGCCTTTTGTAGGATCTATAGAATACAGAAAAACAGAGTTGGAAGGGATCTTGGAGGTCTTCTAGTCCAACCCTGTGCTCAATCTCTTCTTAAAAACTTCCGGTGTTGGAGCACTCACAACTTTTGAAGGCAAGCCATTCCACTGGTTAATTGTTCCAATTGTCGGGAAATTCCTCCTTCGTTCTAGGTTGGCTCTCTCCTTGATGAGTTTCCATCCGTTGCTTCTTGTCCTGCCTTCAGGCGCTTTGGAGAATAGGTTGACCCCTTCGTCTTTGTGGCAGCCTCCCAAATATTGGAACCCTGCTATCACGTCACCCCTAGTCCTTCTTTTCACTAGATTAGCCATTCCCAGTTCCTGCAACCGTTCTTCATATGTTTTAGCCTCCACTCCCCTAATCATCTTCATTGCTCTTCTCGGAACTCTTTCTAGAGTCTCAACATCTTTTCTGTAGATGTTTTCTAGAGGAAATATTTCTGCAGCCTGAACTATGAAGCCTACTGATGCAAGAAGCGAAATTAAAGCAATCACAACAGTCCATTTGATTTCAATTAGACACACTGCCTCAAAGGAAGAATTACTCAGAGAAGGATCAATTAAGCCAAGAAGCCTTTTAATGTTTTGAAAAGCTAGCAGGCTTCTTCTCTCTCCCCCCCCCCCAATTCATTTGTTTTCACTGGGGAGAAATTATTCCTCGCAGTCTTCTTCTGGATTTATGAAGTCTTAGAGTCAGTAGTAAATGAAGAACATTTCACTCAAGGCAAGAGGTCTTGTTAGCAGCCTCTACTGGTCTAATTTTCAAAATATAAATAAATAAAATAGGGCGCTTGTATATTCGTCAAGGGATGAGTCTGGATATGTCTAGCACGATTGTCACCATCCAGAGCTTCTGAAAGATTGAGGGGTACCATGCTAATATTAGAGTAATTTTTCTTCTCTTTCCCTCACCCTCCCCTTTAAATCTTTCTCCTCCACCACCTCCACCTCCTCTTTTACCACTTCTAGTGTTGAGGGAGATACAAAGTTGTGGGTTTTTCTTTGCTCTTTGGGCTGTTTCAACCATTGTTAACTGATGTTATAGTGCAGTGATGGCGAACCTTCTAGAGACCGAGTGCCCAAACTGCAATGCAAAACCCACTTATGTATCATCGGGTGCCGGGTGGGTGTGGCCCATTGGGTGGGTGTGGCCCATTGGGTGGGCGTGGCTGCGGTGGTAACGGCAGACTGGGTGGGACTAAAAAGTTCAATCAATCAATTCCAACTTTGCAAGATGTTTTTTTCCCGCAAGAAGATGAAATTGACTGATTGAACCTTTTTTTTTTTTTTTTTTTGCACACGGCAGCGGAGGCCTAAAGCGAAAAGGTTTTATAAAACCCAGCTGAAGGCCCAGGACTGGGGCGACGGCGCGCGTGCCCACAGAGAGGGCTCTGAGTGCCGCCTCTGGCACCTGTGCCATAGGTTCGCCACCACTGTTGTAGTGTGTCCTTTACTAGGTAGCAATAGCATTTTGTCAAGAGTAAATGTCTCTCTGGACAGCATTGTTATTATTTTTTTAAACCAAACTTCCCTTTGCCTTTACTTAACCCTCAACCCCTCCATCTCGACTCTCTCCCAAAAGGGGTTATTTTATGCATAGGGCTGTGCCAAGACAACCCTTATATGAATGCATCTCAAGGACGCTATCAAAATGCACGGTGGCCTTCGCAAACTGTCAGCCACAATTCTGTGCACATGACTGCTCATTTCTATATCCACAGCATCTCTCGTGTTTTAAAAATTTATGTACTTACCTTTCCACGCATTTCTAGGATCAGACTGTGATTCTGTTAGAAGCAATCACTCTGAGCCAGCCTGCAGATTGAAAATGAGATTGAAATTATACAAAAGCCTTTTTCTTTTTTCTTTCTTTCTTTCTTTCTTTCTTTCTTTCTTTCTTTCTTTTTCTTTCTTTCTTCTCTCTCTCTCTCCTTCCTTCCTAAACATTAATTGTTCCTCTAATATCTGTAACACTGCCCGTTGCTAAAACAGGCACCTCTTTCCTTCTTCCTTAAAAGCTGAGCTTCTTATCCAAAATGAATTACAGTCTGAGGTACATCTCAGGCTTGGGCAACAATAGGGAAATCTGTTCAACTACACCTCCCAGGAACTCAGTCAGTGAGGTCCAAGCCGAGGGATGCTGGGAGCTGTAGTTCCGCAATGCATTGGCCCTCAGTGCTTCGGCTTCCCTGTGGCTTGTGCGTACCTACACATGGTGAATGTTTCTAAGCTAGTGTTTCCCACCTGGGATGACTCCTACTGAGGTGGACTTCAGCTCCCAGAATGCCTCACTCAAGTGTGGCCATTGCTGAGAATTCTGGGAGTCCAGCCAGCCGGCACTTTCACAGGTTGGGAAAGTTTAAAATGGAGTACAGGTAGTCCTCAACGTACGGCCACAACTGAGCCCAAAGTTTCTGTTGTTAAGCAAGACATTCGTTAAGTGAATTTTGCCCCCATTTTACAACCTTCCTTCCCACGGTTGCTAAGTGAATCACTGCAGTTGTTAAGTCAGCAACACGGCTGTTAAGTGAATCTGGCTTAGCTTGTTTGTCTGAATTGGTCGTTCCTTGCGTGGAAAACAGGGAAGCTCAAAAGCCCACGAAGGACCCCACAGTTCAACCCTGAGCTGCTATGGATGTGAGTGAAGGTTTAGCACCCCTTAATAAGGTCCCAGAAGCTCCCAGACTTCCTTCCAACTTTTACGACAGGGAAGCACATCGTCCTTGCAGTGTCTACCAGGAAGATTCCAGGTTCTGCTTTTCTTTTCTTTTTTTCAGACAAAAGAGAGAGAGAAAAAGATCCTCACACAAGAGGAAGGAAAGGGGTCTTTGTTTAGATCTCCTCCCCAAGGCTGAGACCACCAGCCATGGGGAGGAGATATTAATAGCTTGATCTATTAATCCTGACCCACTTCCTGCCATCCTCCTGACGCCCATCAATCTGTTTGGAAAGACACACACACACACACACACACACACACACACACACACGCCTCAGTTTAATATATGTCTTGGGCTGTGTTTGTACAAGACCCTTAATCTGGTTATTGGATTAACCTATTTACTGGGTTGCACACCCCCGCCAATCTCTAGCCAAATTCAGCTATCTGGATTTGCCCGCAGATTAAAGGATCCTTCCCCCCACCCTGCAGAGTAAAATTAAAATAAAATAAAATAAAATAAAATAATAAAGGATGGCACTGAAGAGCTTGGAATTCTGGACAAAGGCACAGTGGTTGCGCAGCAATCCATGAGGACTTGGCACTCAGATCCAGGAGACACTACACTACACACACACACACACACACACCCTAATCATACTCTCCCGAAAGAGAGGCTGGCTGCAAAACCAGAGGGAAGTGAAAGTATTCTGGTGCCTGAGAATAACGACAGCTTGCATTCGCACACGCATTCTCCTTTCTTGGTGGCACTCCGACGTCAGGCTTCCCTGCACCTGAAGGCAGGACAAGAAGTAACGGACGGAAACTAATCAAGGAGAGAAGCCACCTAGAACAGGAGGAGTTTCTTGACAATTAACCAGTGGGACGGAAGTTGCCTCCAGAAGTTGTGGGGGCTCCAGCACCGAAGGTTTTGAGAAAGAGACTGGACAACCGTTCGTCTGGAATGGTATTTCAGGGTTTCCTGCCTGAGCAGGGGGTTGGACTAGATGACCTCCGAGGTCCCTTCCAGCTCTCTTATTTCTGTTATTTTGGATCATTCTCGGGGCTTGCAAATGTACGGAACCTGAATGGAATAGAGAAAATAGAATAGAACAAAATAGAATACAGAAGGAGAATAGAATAGAATAGAATAGAATAGAATAGAATAGAATAGAATAGAATAGAATAGAATAGATGCAATGGGGAATGGAATGGAACAGAATGGAATGGAATTATTAGAATTAGAATTATGGAATAGAATAAAGCTGGAAGGGACCTTGGAGGTCTTCTAGTCCAGCCCCCGGCTCAAGCAGGAGAACCTATACTTGATCGGGGTCAATCTGGGTTAATCTCCCAGAGTCTCAACTTGGAAAATGACATTGATCTGGTAACCCGGGTCGCGGAAGGTGGGGGGGGGGGGCTTTCCCTGTGAAGGCAGCCTTGGGGATGCCTATATTTCTCCACCCGGCTCGGGAGCCTTTTCCTGGCCAGCTGGGGGCGCTGCCGACCGCAGCACCCCCGAGAGGGCGGGGCAGGGAGGCGGGGCTTGGGCGGGGCCTCCGGGACAGCCCTCCCCGGCTGGGAGGGGAGGGCGCAGAGCCGAGGGGCGAGCGGGGCCGGCCGGGCACTTGGCGACGGCTCGGAGGCTGCAGCAGCGCGGCCGGTTGCGCCGCTGGTTCCGTTCTATGAGCCCGGCCGGGGCTGTGGCGCCGAGCGTCCGGCTGCCCGTGGCCCAGGGGCCGGCGTGACCGGCGGGGGGCTGCGCAACGGCCAGCCGGCCGAGGAGAGACGGAGGCAGGCCGGGTGAGCGGGGGCAGGCCGGGCTCGGTCCCCGGGATCGCAACTTCGGAGCCTTGGGGGGGGGGCGGGGGGGTCCTTCAGTCCCGCGCGCGCTAGCAGCGACGGCTCCGGGAAGGCGAAGACCGGGCGAGGGTCCCGAGTCCCACCCGGGAAGGCGGGGGAAGTGGGGAAACCCCCCTCGGGGGGAAGGGAGGGATCTGTTGCCCCCTCCCCAGCCGCCGGATGGACTTCCAGCTCTGGCGATGCCCGTCGCTTCGGCCGCGGAGGATGGAGTCTAAGAAGGGCGAGAGAAGCGGGCTTCAAAGTGGGGATGATGGGCGTTGGAGTTTGGTGCAGCCGCCGGGAAGGGGGAGGGAAGCTGGCTTTAAAGTGGGAGGGGGTGATGGGTCCTGCAGCCTGGCGCGGTCGCCGGCAAGAGGGAAAAAAGCTGGCTTCAAAGTGGGGATGATGGGTCCTGGAGCCTGGCGCGGTCGCCGGCAAGAGGGAAGGAAGCTGGCTTTAAAGTGGGGATGATGGGTCCTGGAGCCTGGCGCGGTCGCCGGGAAGGCGGAGGCAAGCTGGCTTCAAAGTGGGGATGATGGGTCCTGGAGCCTGGCGCGGTCGCCGGGACGGCGGAGGCAAGCTGGCTTCAAAGTGGGGATGATGGGTCCTGGAGCCTGGCGCGGTCGCCGGGAAGGCGGAGGCAAGCTGACTTCAAAGTGGGGATGATGGGTCCTGGAGCCTGGCGCGGTCGCCGGGAAGGCGGAGGGAAGCTGGCTTTAAAGTGGGGATGATGGGTCCTGAAGCCTGGCGCGGTCGCCGGGAAGGCGGAGGCAAGCTGGCTTCAAAGTGGGGATGATGGGATCTGGAGCCTGGCCCGGTCGCCGGCAAGAGGGAAGGAAGCTGGCTTCAAAGTGGGGATGATGGGTCCTGGAGCCTGGCCCCGAAAGGGACTGGAGTGTCGCGGCAAGGCTAGGGACTGCGGAACGCCATGCAGACGCAGCCCGGCCTCTGGAGAAGCGACGGGGGAGGAGGGGAGGAAGCCCCCCTTCCCCGCCCCGGGTCTCGGTTGGGCTTGAAGGCGACCGCTCCTGGCCTCGCTGGCCCCGAAAGACGAGCGCGGAGCTCCCGGGCGCGCTTTGCAGTCGGATAAGCGGACGCTGAGTCCCGCGGCTTGCCTGGCACTGGCTCTCGGCTAAGAGCGCCTGACCGTGCGGGGCAAGCAGGCAGGCAGGCAGGCAGGCAAGGCTGACGAGCCTCCGGAGAGGAGGGATCGTGCTAAAAGACTCTTAACAATAACTTTCCACGACGGTTGCAAAGTGTTGCCGAAGGTCGGGGCTGAACGCTTTCCCCCCTCCGGAGAGTGAGGACTACAGCTCCCATCATCCCCGGGCAGACAGAGAAAGAGGCACCCAGCCCGCCTGGAGTTCCGACGGCCGGGTGGAGAAGAGATTGCGAATCGGAGACGCTTTGGCAGTGAAGGCGGCGAGGTTTCCAGTTAGCGCAGGGGTTCTCAACCTTGGCAACTTTAAGACTTGTGGACTTCAACTCCCAGAATTCCTCAGCCAGCAAAGCTGGCTGAGGAATTCTGGGAATTGAAGTCCACAAGTCTTAGGGGTTCTCAACCTTGGTAACTTTAAGACTTAAGCTTTGCTGGCTGAGGAATTCTGGGAGTTGAAGTCCACAAGTCTTAAAGTTGCCAAGGTTGAGAACCCCTGAGTTAGGGGGTGCTGGTGGAGGGGGGGGAGAGAGATTTGCAAGGATCTGTGGGGTTTGGGAGGGGGGGAGACTGGTCGTACTCCGAGGGGACCGGCTGCCCTCAGGAGCACCAGGGCGCTGCCAGGTCAGGCCCTCCATAAGTGGAGACTGGGAGCAGTTTCTACCTCTGCCCCTAGACCAGGGATCTGCCACCTTGACAGTTTTAAGACTGGTGGACTTCAGCTCCCAGAATTCCTCAGCCAGCTGAGCTATGCTACGCTGGCTGAGGAATTCTGGGAGCTGAAGTCCACCAGTCTTAAAGGGCTCAAGGTGGCAGACCCCCTGCCCTTAGACCAATTCCAGCTGCTGGGGAAAACAAAACAAAACAAAACGACAGAGCTGGAAGGGACCTTTGGAGGTCTTCTACTCCCACCCCCTGCTCAAGCAGGAAAGAGGTTTTTCAGGTTGTCAGCCTTTGGAAGGCACCACACACACACACACACACACACACACACACACACACACACATCATGAAACTGTCTATCTTTTGCCCACCTCCTCTCTAAAGTAGCTATTGGATTTTGACCCCGGCTTTCCGTGACAAGAACAGCTTTGAGGACTCCTCCACTCCCATACTAGGAGTGGAGAAGATCTGCTTTCTGGTGCTATAGAAGCCAATAAATCAATGGGGGGGGGAGGAACCCTCTAAATGGAAGGGGGAAGAGATGTAGCCATGCTGGCAGTTTTCATCCAACGGGTCCAGAGAGGACCTCAAATTGGAGCACACTGCTTGCAATCCTTGGGGGGGGGGTTGGTTTTGACTTCCCTCCCCACCTCTATTCGAAACAAATTTGGGTGATTATGCAGATTGCTCTGCCAGAAGAGATAACGCTTAGCCCTTGAAGATGAAGGGTTCCAGGTCTGACAGCAGCAGCAGCTGATTGATGTGGGTTGAAGTCTCTCTTGCTTGGATTTATTCTGATTATTCTTTTTGAAAAGCAGTTTGGCAAAGAGAGGGCCAAAAAGAAAGAGAATGGAGCCTTCCCCTCAAGAGGCGAGGACTGTAAAATAGAAGATGGATATGTGAAATGGTTAAGGAAGAAGGTGCAATGTTTGCGAGGTGGGGGGGGCGGGGGGGGGACAGCATCCTGAGGAGTTTTGCAGTCTTTCATAGCTGTGTTTGGAAACTTGCCTTGGATAAACCTTGAACCCACCCTGTCATATGTTCTATATCCAGTGGCGAACTTTTGAATTCCAGAGACTTCTCTTCCACAGTTTTGAGGTGTTGGTGTGTTGTTTATTCCTTCCACACCAAAGTGTCCTTGATGAAAAGGGTAAGTCAATGGGGGTTCAACCTTGGCAACTTTTAAAAGACTCGTGGACTTCAACTCCCAGAATTCCCCAGCCAGCTGAGTCGAAGTCCAACGAGTCTTAAAATTGCCAAGGCTGGGCACCCCTGATGTAAACAAACAAAGTTGTGTAGAAATATTGGAGGGGAAACAGTGTTTACCCTTCCTTGGGCCATGTTGGAAAAAATCAGAGTGTGTGCAAGCTCAGCCTATAGTAGAAAACAGCTTTTTTTTCCCTCCGACCGCCCAGACAGAATTCAAACTGGGGAGGGGGGGGGGGCAAGGAGGAAATCAATGTAAAGCATCCCATCTCAAGCTTTCCCGAGAGAGTTTTGCTTGGTAACAGAAAGAGGGTTAAATCCACAGAGTAGAGGTGTGGGAGAAAGAGGGATTTGGTCAGATATAGGACAGATGTAGAAAAGGGGAAGGTAAATATCAAGATACGTTGTGGTCAAGTGGAGAAAACAGAAGGGTTGTTATCTTGATGCAAAGCTGTGGGGGACGAGGGAGGTTAGAGAACTGGCCTGGGATATTTATTTATTTTGCATAGGGCATAGGACACACAGATTACGATAATAAAACTATATAGAAGGTATGCATCATATTATAGTATGTGTACGATGGAAATATGTAGTAAATTTGGGTAAGGTTTGAGAAAGAAAAAATTATATGTAAGTTAAAGTTAAAGTTTACATTTTGAAATGACAGTTGACTCCTAAGAAGAGAGTGGATGTTCTCTACATTAATGATCTAGGCTCTTTATCCAATTAAGGGTGGCATTTGCTGGTTGGAGACAGTCTGTTTATCCTCCCTAAGATAAAAGGAATGAGAAGCTGAACTGCAGATTCAGAAGGATCCCAAAGAGGTTGTGGGTTTGTCCAAGTAGAAGGTGTTGTTGACATAGCCTGGAGGAGAGACGACTTATGGATTTGTTCTTAACACTCCTCAGATCTGATCAAGAGAGACGGATCTGGGGAAAGAATCTCATTCGAGTAGAGGAGTAAACATGCTCAAGCCTCCCCCCCCCCAAACAGGCATTGTTTATCAAAAAACATAGATTGACCCGCTTATGCATGAAAGTTGAGAAGGGATGATGGACTTCTGGATTGGCACTGTTTGGGGAGAATACATTGTAAACCCTGCTGCTTTGGGTCAGGTGGTGGAGTGAGTTATGTGTTGGCTGTATGCACTTGTACCGAGCCTGGGTGGGTGGGTGGGGTAGGGAGGAGAGAGAAAACAAGATTTTGGCAGGCAGAGCAGCCACAGCTGGAGGTGGCGAGTGCTGAGTTAACTGGTTGCTTCTTCTTTGTATCAGGCTCCTAAAAACAATATTAAAAGGGGCGTTGGCTGCAGAAGCCGCTTTGCTTAACCTAGAGTGTGCTGAAATTCACAAGATTGGGCTGAAGCCGCTGGCTATCTGGGCCAGTTGTTGGCTCAACAGAAATCCAGTCATGCTGCATGCTCTTTGGGTCCTCCTCTGAATGATAATTTCATGCCAATTGCTCCTTAAAAAAAAAAAAGTAACCAGGAGAATGAAGAATACAGATTTAGGCTGTTGGTACAATTGTGAAGGTGCCAAAGCAATTTTACAGTTACGTGGCTATGAGAATAAGTCCTGGTTTCCATGCAAGACAGCTGTTCGGTTTCCCAAGGCCAGGTTGGACAGTTGTGGCTTCTGATGAACTTTTGATGGTGTCCTGTTGATATTATCCTTGGATCCTGTTGACAGAAAGGCACTGCAGCCCAGAATTATGGGTTTTGCTTTCCTTGAAAGTCCTGGGTCCAGCTCTGGTTTCTCCACTCAAAAGAATCAGTGACCAGTCCAGGTAAATCCCACTGATCTTGTTGGGCTAAGTCTGATACAAGTTTGCTTCCTGTGGTGGAGATCCAGATGGGAGAACATCTAGTCTTTCAACTGCTGAACAGTAGCCACTGCAGTATACGAATAGTTTCTCCACCTAGTGCGAACTCCCAAGTTTCCTCTATTAAAGTGGGATCTAGTAGGATCTAGGAGATGACCCTTCTCTGTTGTAGCACCTGTCCAATGGGATAGACTACTTCCTTGGATTCCATGGGCCTTGGCCTTGTATTAGGTCATGAAGCCATGGCTCTCCCCCAGTGGTGGGATTCAAATATGTGAACAACCAGTTCTCTGTGTGGATGCCACTTCCAGAAGTCCATTCTGGGCCTGGGCAACAAAAAATTTGCTACCAGTTCTGCTGAACTGGAGATCAACTCTAGAAGCCATGTTTTTTCCCAACCAGTGTCCACCATCCATAAGTGGAGTGCCTTCTCTCTGTGATGGAGACCGACTCCAGAAACCATGGTTTTCCCAACCAGTGTCCACCATCCGTAAGTGAGGTGCCTTCTCTCTGTGATAGAGACCAACTCTAGAAGCCATGGTTTTCCCAATCAGTGTCCACCATCCATAAGTGGAGTAGCTTCTCTCTCTGATGGAGACCAACCCTGAGCAATTTACGGCACTCCAACCTGGGCTCCAACTCTGGATCTCTGTACTCCTTAAAATCTGGTTCAATTCCAGAGCAGGCAGGAACTTAAAAGGCTGCTGTTTGGCAACCCATGAAGTGCAGGTGGCCTCTTGATTCTTACACAATCTTTGGAATGTTCCAGTTTGATTCACAGAAGGGTGAGCCGAGATGATTTTGTTATTCTCAGGAGTGCCAAAGGAAGATCTTTTACATGTGACAGTGGGCCTGCTATATTTGGGAGGTGGGGTGGGGGAGGAATTGATGACCAAACTCTACATCCCACTTGGATTCCAGTTGGAGTCAGGTCTTCTAAAAATACCCCCATGGCATTTTTCACCCGACTTCTGTCCCTCTGCATTCCTCCAAGCAGCAAAGGTGCAGTCTGCAGCATTATGATGCAGAAAGGGAGAAAACAAGTTGTGGCACTTATTTTTTTTTTTTTTTTTGCACGGCAAGCACAATGTCCTCATCAATTACAGTTCAGGAGCTGATGCAGACTGAGCTTTGCTCAGCTCTCTTTGTGCTCTGCCATCTCCCCCGAAGCTGATTCTTTTCAAAGGAGCTGGGAAGAAACTGGGCAGAATTCCCACTCGTTGCGATATTCCCTGGGGAAGGAGGGTGGGGGGTGGGAAATGTCAGAACTGCAGCAAAGGTTTCGGTTCTTGAAGTCAAAGTAGCATTTTTTTTTTTAACCAAATATTTCGCAGTAGTGCTGCAGTGATCGTCCAAAGCCCTCAATTCCTTGAGCAGCTGAAGCGTGGATGACGAAAACTCTTTCATTGTGGTTGTCTAGTTGTTAAGGTCCAGAAAGTCAACCCAAAGTCTTGGTGACCCCCCAGGAACAAGTCCCTGCAGTTTACTTGGCAATCTGAAGGTTGGCTCGTGGCAACTGGAGTTAGTGTTTGTTAGTTTGAGACATTTCACTGCTCAGAAATAAATAAATTTCCTGACGGTGAGGACAATCAACCATTGGAATAGCTTGCCATCACTGGAGATTTTTAAGAGGAAACTGGACATTCACCTGTCTGAGAGGGTGTAGGTTCTCCTGCTTTAGCAGGGGGCTGGACTAGAAGACCTCCAAGGTCCCTTCCAGCTCTATTCTATTCTATTCTATTCTATTCTATTCTATTCTATTCTATTCTATTCATTCCTATTTCTATTTCTATTCTATTCTACTCTACTCTACTCTACTCTACTCTACTCTACTCTACTCTACTCTACTCCACTCCACTCCACTCCACTCCACTCCACTCTAACCTAGTCAAAATAAACAAACAAGTAAGTAGCAAGTTAAGTAAATTATTTATAATTATTTATTAATTATTTTTAACTGGGCTCATAAATAAGTCCAGTTGCCAAGACTCAACCTTCAGACAACTTTACCTGGATGACTGAGAAGCTTCATCAACATATTTTTCTTGGCCATGTTTTCCAGAAGTGGCTTTCTAGCATCTTCCTCCTAGGGTTGAGAGTGAGTGACTAACCCGCCTGGTTTTTGCATCGAAGGCAGGACTAGAATTCCCAGTCTCCTGATATCTAATGAAGCACCTTTAATGGGTAGGCCAAACTGGCTCTCTCTGGAAAAACTAGGAATGTAGCATTTGCAGAAATCACTGACTGTTCGGAGGGAGGACCTCAATTTCCAGTTCATTGACAGTGAGCAGGTAACCCAGAGGTTGTGGAAGACAAAGAGTTCTCTACGTGGGATTTTCTACCTCAGAGGTGTCCAACTTGGGCAACTTTAAGACCTGTGGAACCTCAACTCCCAGAATTCCCCAGGGCTGGCTAGGGAATTGGGGAAGCGGAAGTCCACAAGTCTTAAAGTTGCCAAGGTTGGACGCTCTGTTTCTAAGTATTCTACATTTAATTTCCAGATTTCAGCCAATGCAGTCATACTGGCTTGGCCTTCTGGCAGTTCTAGCACCATCTTCTCTCAAAGAGGGGGGAGGGGAAATTGCCTAGGAGGAGGAATTAGCAGGTAAATTATCGTCTTCTGTTCTTTTCTTTTTGTTTCCAGGTAGAAAAATGTCTACTTTCCTTACAGTTGGCCTTCTCCTCCTTTTTGTGGTTGAGTATGGTTCCTCTGAGAACTCCAGTACTCCACGAGGATGTGGACTGGACCTCCTTCCTCAATACATTGCCCTGTGTGACCTGGATGCTATCTGGGGGATTGTGGTTGAGGCTGTGGCAGGCGCGGGAGTCTTGACCACGCTGCTCCTCAAGTTGATCTTGTTGGCCAGGCTGCCCTTTATCAAAGGCAAAGAGAAGAGGAGCCCGTTGGGCATCCATTTTCTCTTCTTTTTAGGGACCTTGGCGCTGTTTGGCTTGGCCTTTGCGTTCATTATCGAAGAGGACGAGACCATCTGCTCCATCCGCAGGTTCTCCTGGGGAGTCCTCTTCGCTGTCTGTTTCTCCTGTTTGCTCGCTCAAGCCTGGCGGCTCCGGAGACTTGTCCGCCACGGCAAAAGCCCATCTGGATGGCAGCTGGCTGGAATCGCTGTCTGCGTTGCGTTGGTCCAGGTCATCATTGCCACGGAGTGGCTGATACTGACGACTGTGAGGGAAGGAAAGCCGGCTTGCAATTACGAGCCAGTGGATTTTGCAATGGCCTCCATTTACGTGATGTTCTTGATGGTGGTCACCGCGTGTTTTTCCTTCTTCACGCTGTGTGGGAAATTTAAGAAATGGAAGAAGAACGGGGTGTGCCTTGTCCTCACCAGCTTCTTCTCTATCTTCATTTGGGTGGCTTGGCTGACTATGTACCTGTATGGTAACAAGGAACTGGGGAGAAGAGACCAGTGGCAGGATCCCACCCTTGCAGTGGCTCTGGTAGCCAATGGCTGGGTCTTCCTGATCTTCTATGCCATCCCAGAGGTTCACTGCGCCATCCTTCCATCTCAGCAAGAGAACACACCCAACTACTTTGACACTTCACAACCACGGATGCGCGAAACTGCTTTTGAGGATGACCTCCAGCTTCCTCGGAGTTACATGGAGAATAAAGCTTTTTCAATGGATGAACATAATGCAGGTGAATGTTTATTTGTTTAACATGGGACTGAAGATGCTTGTCATAAGTCGTAATCATGTGGAAAGTTTGACCAAATAAAAATTTGAGAATGGAATAAGTAGCAATGACTCAAAGCAGGAGGTGCTTGTAGGAGAAAAACAGGCATAGCCTAGGGGTGGAGTCAAGAGAGGAATCAGCCTAGAATCGTTACATTCCCATAAAATATCCAAGGCCAAACTCTTGAATTCTGTTGACTCTTATCTAGCGCCAAGTTAGTGCTTACTAATAGTTGACTAGAGAGCGTGTTGGCTCAACAGTTAAAGACGTTGAGCTTGTCAGCTGGAAAGCTGACAGCCTGGGTTCGAGACACAAGTGCCGCACAATGGGATGAAATCCCATTCTTGCCCCAGCTCCTGCCCATCTAGTAGTTCAAAAGCATGCAAATGCAAGTAGATAAATAGGTACCACTTCAGTGGGAAGATAACAGCGTTCCATGTGCTCTTGGTGTTTAGCCATGCTGGCTGCATGACCACCAAAAATGTCTTCAAACAATGCTGGCTTCCTCGGCCAAGAAAAAAAGATGAGCACAGCATCCTAGAGTCAAACAGGACTGGACAGGGAAAACTTTACCTTGATTAGTTGACTAGATTCTTGTGTATAGACATGAGCAACAAATCAGTTTAACTGGGACTTAGCTTGTGGTCCAGATTCTTCCAGCCTGGCACTGCCCCAGACATTGATGGTGTCATAACATCGTAACAATGCTTTCTCTCCTGGGATCTGGAATATAGATTCACTAAGTATCTCCTGATCTGCATAGCTATGAGTCTGAAGCTGCATTTTGTTCCCAGGCCTCTTTGTGATGAATTGCAATTTCCTGTCCAGTTTTCACCTTGAGTTAGACGCCATGCGTCATTCCTGTTTGGTGTGCAACGCCAGCTGGAATCCTTAATAGCCGTGTTGAGGAGAACAAGGCCCTCCCTATACCGTTGAACTACAATTTCCAGCATCCCTCAATTCTGGTCCTCCTAGTGGAATGATAGGAATTATAGTTCAGCAACATCTGGATGGGAACAGATCCAGCAGATTTTCTTTCAGGCTAATCGCTGTTCACTGGCACCGAGAAGATTTAACAGCCATTTGACTGCTTTCTCCTCCCCCCCCCCTTTTTTTTTCTTCCTTTTCCTTATTGAGAAAGATGGCAGAAATTGACAAGCTATAATACCGAGTCTAAAAGACTTATTCCTAAAAATAAAAATAAAAAACACCTGAATGTGCGTTTCCTTTTCTGCCTGCTGAATCAATATCCTTGCACACTCACAGTGTGCATCGTAGCAAGATGGTTTGATCTTAGTTCAATAAAGCAATAAAGCCACTGATTTACAGTATCCTGACATTTTCCCAAGGAGAGTAGAAGGCGTCAATAAAGTGGAGCAAACCTATCATTTGGTGCATCTTTGGCGTTTTTAAAAATCGTGCACCTTTGATAGATTCTTCTTCTTTTTAAATCTCACCTGCCACATTGAGCACACATGTCCAGCCAAAGCAGGCATCTGGAATAGTCAAAATTTATAAAAGAATCTAGGAATAAGATCAGTTCGACACTGTGGGCTTGACTCTAAAAGACAATGCTTCAGTGCTCCAGTGAGATGTCCCAATCTAAGCATGCTTAACTCATAGGAATAATTTGATTGTGTAGCAAAAGGGCAGGCAGAGCCTGGGGGGGTGGAGTCAAAAGAGTAATCAGCCTAGAATCATTATGTTCCCACAAATTTTTTTCACCACTGTTGTAACTTCAAACGGTTGTAAGTCAAGAACTTACCTGTCATCTCCTCCACTAATCTGCCTAATCAACTTTTCTTGTTTCCTAGATTAGTGGCCATCACTTAGGAAGTGCATTTCCCATGTTAACTAGGAACAGAGGAAATAATTTCCCAAGATTTACCTTTCTTTGGCTTCTGGTATTTTGAGAAAAACATCTCAAACGTTTCTGCCATCCATAATTCCCTATATCATTGTCAAGCGTGCCGTCTTTTGGACTTCTTTACAATTTGGGTTTCTAATGTTAGATACATTTTCAGCTGTCTCCCGTTGTCAGTTGAACAGAAGTATTACATATTTAATTATGACATGAAGCAAATTCTTTTACACCCAAGAAAAGATCTTGATAACGATTTGTGAAACCCTACATTCCTTGTGAAGTCACGGTTTAAAAACTAAACTTAAAAAAAAATTAAGTAGGTGGTTTATATTTATTCCTTCACATTGGCAGATATATTGCTCTTATATTTTTCTTCCCATTCAGCTTTAGATTTCTCTGTTGTTGAAGAAATATTTCAGCTTGTGGCAAATGTATAAGGCCTCACTTTGAGATGCCAGGTGGGAAAGATCAGTCCCACCCATGAAGGTCCAATGAATCTGACTTATTGCTATTTGTGCCTATGTACAGGAATATTCCCAACAACCCAAACACCTGCTTGAAATTAGATAAGAGTCAACGGAATTAAAGGAGAAATGGACTTAGTTCACTTGTGGCTATGTAAGGATTCTAGGCTAATCCCTTGTTTAACTCCACCCCCAGGTTCTGCTGTTCCTTATCCTATAGGTGGTGATCTACAGGTAGGGTTTAATTCCAGGCAGGATCTAGGCAGTGGTGGGATTCAAATATGTGAACAACCAATTCTGTGTGGATGCCGCTTCCGGAAGTCCTTTCTGGGCCTGGGCAACAAAAAATTAGCTACTGGTTCTGCCGAAGTGGTGCGAACCGGCTGAATCCCACCACTGGATCTAGGACACCTACCTGGAGTTAAAAATCCTATCTGTAGATCTCCACCTCACCTTAAAGCTGTCTATGGAGAGCTTCCATCCGCTTCTGCTTTTGTGTGTTTTTCCCCCTTAAATCACCTGTCCCTCTCCTTGTCTTCTTTCCCCATCTCTTTCTCGATTCTGCACAGCGCTACGGACGGCAGGATTTCGCAACGGCAGCTTGGGAAGTCGTGCAAGCGCCCCCTTCCGCAGCAATGTCTACCAGCCCACCGAGATGGCAGTTGTCTTGAATGGTGGGACTGTAAGTATCAAAATGGGATGCATAGAAGAAGCTGCCCCTTAGGGCAAAAGGCTCCACCACTGCTTTCTACTCATAACTTCCTTTGGTTGGATGCTTACTGATTATTGGGGAGAATGATGGGCGGGATGAGACTGGGATGCGGGAAGCTTCAACACCCAAGGATGCATGCAAGGGCGATTTTCAAATTCCATGTTGTCGAGCCACTCAAGTTTTTCTTTGCTAAGATTGTTGTCCAGGGACTAACAGAAAAATGCCATCTCCTCCCTTTTTGGGGAAGGGGGGAAAAATGATTTATCTTGTCCAATTTCCTCCTAGTTAAGTCAGTGAAAAAAATTTGGACCGCTTCACTTTTGCAATGTTCTTCTGGTCTGAGAAACTTGAGATGATGTCTCTAGGAAAGCTTCTTCGTCCATTAGCATTGACCCATTGCTCCTTTTCCCAACAAATCACCGCCTTGTGTTGTTGCTGTTGTTTCGCTGAACTACCATCCATTGGTGGTGTCTTTCCTTTAAATTTGTGTGGCTTTGCAACCAAGGGCCATTTCTCAAAGAGTTCCTACCCACCGTAGCCAAAATCCCTGATGCCAAGTTGATTGCTTCAAAAGATTAGGCAGCCCAACGGGAATCCTTATCTCCTTTGCGTTGCCTAAGGTCAGTGTTGATCGAGGAGCTGCCCAAATCGCTTGATCCTTTTTGCTCTTTACGTTCTTCCAGTTTTGTTGGCCCACCAATGATGCTCTCTCCCTCAGCTGCTTAACTGTCATGATCTGCTGCCAGGTGGCCTGCTTCAAAATGCCACTCGTTTTTGGCTTGTGCTCCATAGAACTTGGGTTTGTATTCTTTTAAGCCAACCCCTCCCTCCATAAGGCAATTTTGCATTTTTTTTTTTTCTTTGAGACTTGTTTTTGGGAGAGATGGGGAAAGGCTGATGTTGAAAAACATCCAGTTGATCTCCTTCCCAGCTTGATGCAGTCTGTTCCAGACCCATATCAGGAAGGATATTCGGTTCAGCCAACAGCAGAGGGATCTGACACGCAACTCCACGTTCAGAGGGTTTAAATCCCGAACCCTTTTCATCTCCCACCCGTGGTTGAGCTGATTTTATCGGCTAGCAGCTGCCTTTCTGAAACCCAGAAGCCTATTTGCAATTCTTGAGCCAAATCCCAGTGGGGTTTTTTTGGCAGGTGGGAAGTTGAAAATAGAGCAATGTAGGCAAGTTATGTGTTGCTCCCTCGTACAAGGGGTTTTGTCCTTTAGTAAGATTCAGGAGCTGAAAATGTCTGATCAATTCAAGGCAGTAGAAGCAGGCCGTGAAAATGGGAATCCGAGGGTTGTTTCATAACTAATGGAGGAAGAAGAAGAAGAGGAAGAAGAAAGAGTACATGTAGTCCTTGACTTACAACAGTCCATTTAGTGGCTGTTCAAAATTATAACCGTGCTGAAAAAAAGTGGTTTGTGACTGTTTTTCTCATGACAGTCACAGTATCTCTGCAATCAAAATTTGGATGCTGGGCAATCGAGTCATATTTTACGACGGTCGCGGCATCCCCCTTTTGTGACCTTCTGTCAGACCAAGTCAATAGGGAAGCCAGACATATTTAACAACCAGGTTACTAACTTAGCAACTGCAGAGATTCACTTCACAGGGAAGAAATGTAAAATGGGGCAAAATTCGCTTAACCACTGACTCGCTTAGCAACGGAAATTTTGGGCTCAACTGTGTGGTCGTAAGTCAAGGATTACATGTACCAGATCAAGTGCCCTGCAGGGCTTTGTAATGTGACTGTCTTAAAGCAGCGCTCAAAAATGCTTAATCCTGGATGTATTATCCTTATTTCCAGATTCCAACCGCTCCACCGAGTTACACGGGAAGACACCTATGGTGAAAAGCTTAGAGGTCATAAAGGAAGAGAGAGAGAGAATCCATTAACAAAAATTGATTGCCCCCCCCTCCCAAAAAAAGTGTGTTGTTTTCAGAGGGAGGAAAACCATGGGGGGGGGGCTGTGGAAGGTCCTAGAAAAACTGATAGCTCGGAGTTGTTCTCTCCTTTTTTTCTTTCTTTTGTTTTTAATAAAACGAATAAACGAAAACAGAAAAAAAAACATGAGCACTGTCAAATCGATAAGCTAAGCTACCAGGAGCCTCCAGGATGCAATAGAAGCTGACCGAATTTAAAAGTAGACCTAGGCGCATTCTTCTTTTTTAAAAAATAGAAAAAGGGAGGGGAGGAGAAAGGGATCGAGTAGCAAAATGAGAAGAAAGCGTTTGGTTAGAGAAAGTGGGAAGGCTTCGGAAGGGGCAGAATTATAGGAAGGCAAAGGTCTTTAATTCATGGAACCGTGCGTGATGCAGGAGTGTCCAACGTACAAGGGGTCTTTGCTACTCTTTGAACAGCATTCGTGGGGGGGGGAAGCCCACTTAAAGCAGGGGGGGGTGTCCCCAAACTTGGCCGCTTTTAAGACTGGACTTCAACTCCCAGAATGCTGGCTGGAGATTTCTGAGAGTTGAAGACCACCTGTCTTAAAGTGGCCAAATTTGCAGACACCCGGATTTAGAGCAGGGTTTTTCTCAAGCTTGGCCCCTTTAAGATGGGTGGACTTCATGTTGGCTGAGGGATTCTGGGAGTTGAAGTCCACCCGAAAAAGGCCGATTGAAAATAAGTTGTGGAGCTGCACTATGGAACCTCAAGCTATGGACAGGGTGCTTTCTCTTCACATCCAAGCTGCTGGTGCGAGCTTGTGGGGTTCCAGATCAGGCGGCAACAGTGACCCAAAGTCATTGGTGGCTTCGCAGGTACCGTCCAAGGTGCTTAAGCTCTTCTTGAAACCATAAGAGCTTTCACCCGGCTTCTCTTCTCCCAGAAGCAGAACAGAGCAGTTGACCATCAGGGTGTGCTTGGTAGGACCAAGGAAGCATCTGCCCTGCTTTCGTGATTGACCAAGGTCAAAGAGGGGCAAGGTCACACAGACTGTGTCTCCAGAGGGGAAAATGACTGGTGCCAGAGAAGTAGCTTATGTAGCTCAAGAGAAGGACCAGGAAGGGAAAGACAATCCATGGGAACGATCCCTCCATACTTCCCAAGATTTTTCACGAAAAGGAAAATGTATCTCAGTGGATCACCCAATGTATTATCCCCACTACGCATTTAACCCTGAGGTCCTTTGCGTGCCAGGAAATCCTCTCCACGGGACGAGCTTAAAATCTCCCAGTCTTCGCTCCCAACCCTAGTTGAACACTGAAGAGCTCGTGGACTGCAACCGTTTTTGTTTTTGTTTTTGCACATTGATTACCTTTTCTCGTGTGTATCTGGAACGTTGGGTTATTATTATTGCTATGATTTGATTGCTTTCATCTGGATGTGGGGAATCTCTTGCCCGCCCGCCCCGCTCCTTTGCCACAATGCCCTAATTCTTTCTGCCTTTTCACATTGCTATGATTTCACTGATGTTTGGCGAAGCATTCCTTTAATGGGTGAGCATTTTAAAGCCTATCAAGCATGTAGATTTGTCATTTTTTACATTCGGCTGGCTAGCTAGCACCTGCTTTCTGCTTTCCTAGAGACTAAAAAAAAAAAAAAGCAAGTGTGATTTGCTTGGTTAAGGTGTGTGTGACTCTGTGTGTGCGAGAGATAGAGAGATAGAGAGAGAGAGAGAGAGAGAGAGAGAGAGAGAGAGAGAGAGAGAGAGAGAGATCAATAAAACCAGGACGGTATAAAATATCTCAAAAGGATGGAGGGTTTTGGGGTTTTTTTTCACTTGTTCTAAAAAGATTTGCTTTTTAAATGGGCAACTGACAGTGATAACAGAAATAAGATTGCTGAATTCTTCAGATTTGCAAAGCTGATCACAGGTTCTTAGAAAAGAAAATGAAATGTAATTAATTGGTGTGTTTGAGGATTTTTTTTTTTCTTCTTCTTCACGTCCGCGGTTTTTAATTTATCTAATTCTATCGATTCCATTCTGCTTGTTAATGTACCCAACCTCGCTGTCTGGGTAATATATCTGTAGGGAATAAGGGGCTAAACTGTCTAAATGCTTTTTTATATTATATGTCAGTTCCTTGCACTCAGAACTGTCCATATTCAAATGATGCATTCTGTCTTCTCAGGAAAGATTCTAAATGAATCTCTCTCTGGCGTGCTAATTTTCTATATATAAATACTAGCATTAGGAATAATAATAATAATAATAACAATAATCATATATATATATATATATATATATATATATATATATATATATATATATATATATATATATATATATATATGATTATGTAAGGGCATGCCATTATGTAATATACCCTGAACCGAGAATTATTCTGAAAATCTTAGATATTGGCTATAGCGCTAGCAAAGGATCTCTTTTACTTATAAGTGGTCCTAAAGTCAGTCTTTATTCAGAAATAGGGAAATAAACTCCTCGTCCCATCAAATTTGGTGCACTTTAATGTTTTGCTAACATTAAAACTTTGGGGGTTTTTTTCTTCCTGTTAAGAACTGCTTTCTTTCTTTATGATTTTCTTTATGAGTCTTGTTGCTATTTGGCAGAAGGAAGGGCTAATAAAACTCTGTTATAAATTTATGTATCCGCTCTTGTCAGCTTTGAATCTCCTTGTTTGGTGTGAAAAAAGCAGAGTGTGAAAAACCTTGAAATAAATGTGATGGTAGATGCCACGTTGATGCGCTGTACAAGGCACAATGTTGGCATCACTTCTGTCATAACCTGGATTATTTAGGAGTGTAACTGGTGCAAAACGAGACAGTGTGTGACACACACTTTTCTTTGTTCCATGACTTCTTGTCGCCATAATCATTTTAGCAAGTTTAGTCTTTTTTAAAAGAATTGCCGAGCAGGTAACGGCAATAATTTTTGTGTCCCACAAAGGTTTACCTATAAGAGGAAAAAACTGCAATATTGTGTTCCAGGAATTTGCAAAATTTTATTTGATGCAAATCTTATTTCATCATGTAAGATTGTGAGAAAATGGGATGATTTGCTGTTCTCCTAATCTTTTTTAAAGTACAAAGCAATATTTTTAATAAGAGGGACGTTCCTAAAAAAATGTAAAATTTAACTGTGTGTGGCTGCTTCACATACACAGTTGGCACTTTGCTATGGATTTGTGCATGACAGAGGTTTGATACGTGTGAAAATGGGGTTTTGAAGCTATTTTTGTTACCAAAATGCATATGATGAACTTGCATTAAACGGTTGGAATTAATTAATTTTCCCAGTTGAATGTGGACAATAGGAGGGAGGGAGGGAGGAAGAGAGACGAAACTGTGTGGTTTTTAACTGGAGGAAAAGACTATTTTTTAGAAAATTCTGAGGTTGTCCAATTTGTGTTTATTTTTTTCTTTTAGACAAGGAAGGATTTAGCAGTCCTACTTCCCGTTAAATCAATGGCAGTTTGGGAGCTTAAAGACAGGGCTGGATCTTGGAAACCCAGGACCCCTTCTAACCTCTCCTGTGAACCTGGGCCATGTCTCCTAGTGGTGGGAGGTGTGCCAATAAAATTATAAGAAGGGATTATTATTTTCTTGAACTATTATTATCATTATTATTAGTCAGCCTGTGGTTTCTGATGTTTGTTGCTCCTGCAACTCTTCACCCAAAACGCCTCTGTTAGAAACCTTTTAAAAGGCACCCTTGTGTTGAGTTGTATCTTTGTTAAAAAGTTACAAAAAAGTTGTATGTTTGCTTTCGGTCAAAAGTTGTGATGACTGTAGAGCATCTGGGGAGGCACTTGACACACAGGAAGCTAAACCACCTGGATTTCACTGTAGCTTGCTTTGGAAAGCATCAATGTTATTCTGTGCTTTGTGATTGTTGATTAATGTAACTAGAAATATACAGCCACTCCCCCAGCATAGAAAAGCAGGGTAGAACGCAATTTATACTGAAATTGCGGGAATGAACTGGATCAAATTCCCCCCCCCCGGCAAATTGGAAAGGAACATTTTGATTGACAGATGGCAGTCCGAGCATTGCTGTGTTGTTTGGCACAAGTGGTGGCTTTTCATTGGACTTCCAGAATCGGGCTGAAAACATCCAATTGACCACCAGATGGCAGAAGAGAGATAGAGCTTTCTGAGCTCTTTGCAGCCATCTAGAGGATGTCTTGATCCTTGCAGCCCAGATTACGGAGCTCCGGCATCAAGCAGCAAATGCCACTCAGCAAAGGATTGAAGGAGAAAGTTGGGTAACGTTCTGTAAGCTTGCTTGCTGCCTTAGGTGGAGGATGGAAGGCCATTCTCTCCATGAGAAAGCATGATCTGCGACGAACAAAGTGGGAACACCACCTTGTTCCTTCTCTCTCAGGCTGCTTGCAAACTGCACCTCCTCAAAGCCGGTAGCAATCTTTCCAGTGACATTAAGCATGCTTCCGTTCTAGTAATCTCGGTGCATGATCTTAACTTCCTGTCAGCTGCACCCCTTTTCCACAGCTGAATAGCTTGGAGGGTCATGCATGAAATACACGGAGAACAGGGCTGGCCAATCAGAACCCAAGGAGGTTTCTGGCTTGATGTCACTGATGTTATCTCCATTTACATTCATTGCCTGTCAATTTCCATGAAGCGTTAGTTCTGTGGGGATCAGCTGGATAGTGAGTTTTTCCTTCAAGCTCAAGCTTGGCACTCTTCTGATGAGAGCAAAATTAGGAATCTTGGGACTCCCAGAGTTCTCAGGAACATTGACCACCCTGGTGGGGAATTCTGGGAATTAGAGTCCATGCTGTCATGGTTCTGAAAAGAAGCAGCTTTTCAAAGAACTTTGAGGCTTATTTACCTTAAAGAATCCTTTATTTTCTGCTTAGCTTCGGCACATTCAAAGTTAAGCCAAAAACTGAATCCTCCCTCCCCCAAACACCTGTAACAAAGCATAACTCACTCCTTCATTTTACAGTCATCAATCACATTCTCCAATTAATGTGAAGTATGAAGTGCCCCTCCTGTTACAGCTGACCTTGGCAACACGGTGCTCAGACATATTTTCCCATCCACTAGGCTAGTATTATCTGCTTTAACTCTAGAAGTGCTATACAGGCTAAATAAAACAGGTTTGCTTCTTCATATATGGCAAGCAAGAACATCCAATGTTAGCAGTCTTGACACATGCATCTGAAGGGTGTCCAAGCTGGGGAAAGAGAGTTCCCCCATCATGGCCAATGTTTGAGAAGGCCTGGACTTCCATGTCTGTTATTGTAGAATGACTGTAGGTCCCCAGGAGACATGATCATCTCCAGGCTAAATCCTAAATTAAGTAAGATGTCTTCCAATACTAGCGGAAATCTACTTTTTGGGAACATCGTTGCTTTGGCTAATTTGCTGCTCGAAGCTTTCGTTCTAACCCAAAACAGCAGAATCAGAAGCAAATGTAGCTTTGATTAGGAGATTTGAAAATATATATTTATATATATACATTACAATTTGACTACTCTACTAGCCTATCAGATAACCCAACCGGTGCTTTTTAATTAAATGACAAGTGCTCTCTTCTTCTTTTGATAATATATGTAAATATTTATTAAATGTATTAATGTGCATTTTTATAATATTCTCCCCTTCCCTATCCTGTTTGACTGTTGCGTACCATGTCATATTCTACATCTCTAGAAGGTTTTTGAGACAATCAGTTGTGTACCAATATGGACTGTACATAAAGAGATATGGAATTTAAACTAAACAAAAATGAGAGTTGTAAAGCCTGGGCAGATAGATACATTTTATTTTCAAAATGCTGTTCTTAATGAAGAAAATTAAAAAAAATAAAATAAAAATAAAAAAAATAAAATAAAAGAATTACTATTTACTTACAATGGCCTGGTCATTATTTGTTTTTGTTTTATTTTGTTTGGCTGAAAAGCTTTTGTGTGTCAATGTTTGTGTGACGGGTACAGTTCAATGAATACAGCTGCCATCGGCCCAAATTGGGTCCCAAGAGATCCTTTTTTGATCCTTTCATCTGCTAATGCTTCTAGAACTGACGGGGGTGTGTGGAAGAAAAGGACTTTGCATATTGCTCGGCGTAAAGCTCTTAGGGTGTTTTTCATAACACGTTTGCTAATATTTAAAGAACACGTTCTCGGCGAGCGCGTAAGATGGTTACAAACCAAATGGACAGACTGGCTTTGGGACACGTTCCGGATGACGTTGAAATGGTTAGTAAGGAGAACACGTTCCCTACGCAGCCATCGGTGTTTGCATTTCCCAAACATTTTGATCTCAGGACCCCCTTTGAATTCTTATAAATGCATCACTTTGGTTTATAGGGGTTATATCTATGGATATTTACTGTATTAAAATGAGACCAAATTTGGTATCGTGGCGAAGGGACCAGGCTAGGAGCCAGGAGATGGTGAGTTCTAGTCCCGCCTTAGGCATGAAAGCCGGCTGGGTGGCTTTGGACCAATCACCAGGAGATGGTGAATTCTAGTCCCGCCTTAAGCATGAAAGCCGGCTGGGTGGCTTTGGACCAATCACCAGGAGATGGTGAATTCTAGTCCCGCCTTAGGCATGAAAGCCGGCTGGGTGGCTTTGGACCAATCACCAGGAGATGGTGAATTCTAGTCCCGCCTTAGGCATGAAAGCCGTTGGGTGGCTTTGGCCCAGTTACTCTCCCTCAGCCTAACCCACCTCATAGGATTGTTTTTGTGGGGTAAACAGGAGGAGGAAGATGCGTTGGTTATGTTCATCGCCTTTTATATTTATAAAAATAATAAAAGTGGGATACAAATAAATAAAATGTTTCTTGCCTATTTTGGTCAAGGACACCTCCCTCATGTCCCACACCAGCAAGCAGAGGATTTGGGGCCCAGAACCCATCATTCTGAAGAATATGACTTTATAATTAAAAGAGGCTGATGCATCCTACCTGCAATGAATTCTCTGCAAGCTTGGAGTTGCTTAGCTGGTCCTTATTAATCTTTGCTTTGACTTCAGGTGTCTTTGACATTCCCGCCATTATAGTTTTTGAGTGAGTTGGACTGGGCTCCTCAGAGTCTTCCAGTTTGGTTCCCACTGGAAAAAAAATAATACACATTTTTGGTTTATGTTATTAAACCAACATTTTCGGCTCTCCAAAAAACTGAAAACATTCGCCTGCAGATGTTTAAATGAATACAGAATGGGTCAAGAATGAGTAAAATGCCATTAAGGTGGGCTCAATTCTTGGCGACTCCTTAAATCAGGGATGTCCAACCTTGGCAACTTTTAAGACTTCAGCTCCCAGAATTCCCCAGCAAGGCTGGCTGGGCAGTTCTAGGAGTTGAAAGACCACGAATTTTAAAAGTTGCCAAGATGAGACACCTCTGTTTTAGAGAGTCACACTGCTATAAAGTTTGAAAAGACTCATGCTCGGCATTAATCAGTGGTGGGATTCAGCTGGTTCGCACCAGTTCAGCAGAACCGGTAGCTAATTTTTGGTTGCCTGGGCCCAGAATGGACTTCCGGAAGCAGCATCCACGCAGAGAATCGGTGGTTCACCTATTTGAATCCCACCACTGGCCTTAATGTATGTTTGCAAAGCATTTGAACGGAATGTACTTTGCCCCAACTAAGTAAGACTTATTATAGCTTTGTATGATGCATGAATCCAGATAAAGGTGCCTTTTTTTAAAAAAATAAAAATCCCCAGTAAGAACTTGCTTTTCAGACTTACTACGATCTTCTGGATTTGGCTGCCTTTCAAAGTCCAACTTCAAAGACACCTACACATGTATAAACCCACAAGGAGAGAATGTGGACCCCTCTATGGGGCTGTGGCGTTTGGAGTCCTGCATTCTCAGCTGTTGCTGACCAGATCAAATGTCCGTGCCCTCTCTGGCACCTGATTGGCACTGGATGCAAACACACATTTTAATATCCAGACTCACACAAGGCGCAGGGTGGTGTGGCTTGATTATGAAAGGATGGTTCATGATTTTGTATGCGTGTGGATGGCAGTCAGAGGCCAATCCAAAACAACAACAACAACAAAAACAAATGAAAGGCTATCATTTGGTATAAAGCAGGCGTGTCCATTCAACTTTAAGACTTGTGGACTTCAACGCCCAGAATTCTCCAGCCAGCATGGCCGGCTCAGGAATTCTGAGCGTTGAAGTCCACGAGTCATAAAAGTGCCAAGGTTGCCTAGCCCTGGGATAGACAATTATTAGACAGACTTCAGCCTCCACAATTCCCATGCAGGATACCTCCTTTAGGAAGATCGTAGTATTTGTGAACTAGGAGAAGAATCTCAAGCATTCAATCAGGAGAAAGTTGCGCACTTCTGCCAAAGCAGACACATGCCCATTGATTGGTTTCAACCCTGAACTACGAAGTTTTGGGAAAGAGAATGCTAGCTTTTGTGCACATTTTGAATGAAGGCTGCTGTTTGCAAAGGACAGATGTGCCATTGTCTGGGTGGTGTGGGGGGAGAAAAAAACCCTGAATAAACAATTTTGTTATCATGTGATGGGCCCCAGAGAGGCAGGCTTTATGAAATCCCCCACAAAGTTCAGCCTTTGGTCTGCCAACTCATGGTGAGTAAAAAGTGCTTTTGAAAAAAGGACGGCTCTTTTAAACAAACACAGACCAAGCAAAGGGGAAATATTTTTTCTCTTTATCTGATCATGTGAGAGGGGATTTTTTTTTTTTTTTTTTTTTGCAAGTTGAGGAACGGGGAACCTTTGCATCGTGGCCATGACTTCAGGAAGAACCAGAGGGCTCAAATAAATGGTGAGCGAAGATATCTGGGTTTGGGACACAAGGACTAGTTGTCTTCGCATAACCATGCTGGCACACAAGGGGTGGACATCAAGTGCTATCACGATGTCCCTTCTATGCAAGGGATGAAAAACATGTTTGGATAGGTCGAAAAAAAGAAAGGACAAAACATCTTCTAAGCCCTTTTTTTCATGCAACCCATACTGGTTTCTTTCAAGACTGCACCTTTAAATTGCAAGAAAACTTTACAGATTCCTAGGGCAAGGGTAGGCAACCTTGGCTCTTTTATGACTCATGGACTTCAACTCCCAGAATTCCTGAGCCAGCCATGCTGAGGGGAAAGGGAGAGGTTTCCAAGCTGAGCCATGCTGGCTCAGGAATTCTGCGAGTTGAAGTCCACGAGTCAAAAAAGAGCCAAGGTTGCCTATCCCTGTCCTGGGGAAACAGATATGGAGAGATTGAGGGGGGCAGGAAGGAGGGGTCTATTTCTGAGCAATATTTTTCTCTAGTTAGATAGTGGTTGATTTTTTTCGTCTTCTTCTTGATTGCAAATCTTTCACTTATGCACAAGAGCTGCATTTCCTAGCGGGCACCGTAATCCGATGCCGTCTTAACATACACCGTTGAGAAAAGCTGAACTGACCTTATCAATCAGCCTAAACATTTTTCAGTTGTGACACCGACAGCTTGAGAAGAAACCATTTCAGCCCTAGTTACCTTTCTTTTCTTGATTGGCCCAGAATTCCCGTACGCGTTTGTTAATGTTCTTTGTCTCCCTCAAATGTTTTTGCCACTGGCGTAATTCCTGGACTTCAGAATCGCAACGGACCTAGAAATGGGAAACATACGTGTCTGGGTAAGAAAGTCTGGAGGTATCTGTTGAGTCAATCTCAAAGGTGCTTTTTCAAAAGGCAAATGGACTATGTTTTTTTCTTTGAAGAAGATGAAGAAGCTTCATCAGTTCTGATCAGATGGCGGTGGGGGGAACGTAAGGGTAGCAGAACTAATCCATCCTCCCCACCATCCAGCTAAAACTGATGAAGCTTCTTGCATGAGGAAAAAACATAGTCCGGCTGCCTTTTGAAAAAGCACTTTTGAGACCAACCATGACCTGGATGCCTGAGAATCTCCACAGACATGTTGAGCCGATATTAAATAGCATAATAATAATAATAATAATAATAATGATGATGATGATGATGTTGGAACGGACCTTGGAGATCATCAAGTCCAACCCCCTGCTCAGGCAGGTAACCCTATACCATTGTGGATAAATGGTTGTCCATTTATCCACAATAAAAACCTCCAGTGTTGGAGCATTCACTGCTTCTGGAGTCAGGTTGTTCCACTGATTAATTGTTCTCACTGTCAGAAAATTCCTCCTTAATTCCAGGTTGTTTCTCTCCTTGGTTAGTTTCCATCTGTTGCTTCTTGTCCTGCCTTCAGGCGCCTTGGAGAATAGCTTGACTCCCTCTTCTTTGGGGCAGCCCCTGAGATACTGGAACACTGCTATCATGTCCCCCCTCGTCCTTCTCTTCGTTAAACTAGACATACCCAATTCCAGCAACCTTTTCTTGACAACATGCTGTCAACTCCCCAAACTCAGTTCTCTATAGGCGACTGTTAAGTATTGTATATAGATTTAAAAAGCTGTGGAGATGCTTGGCCTGTATAATTGCCAAGAGTCGGACACAACAGAATGGAAAACATGATCATTGTTTAGGAATGACCAAAAGTGCTTTCTCAAAAGGCAACTGGAGTTTGTTTTCTTCCTTGAAGTTTCCTTTCTCATCCAAGAAGCTTCTTCAGCCCATGACTTCATGAGCTGAAGAAGCTTCTTGGATGTGAAGTGAAATGTCTTCAAGGAAAAAAAGAAAGTCCAGTTGCCTTCTGAAAAAAGAATTTTGGGATAACCATGACCTGGATGACTGAGGATCTCCATAGATATTCAGGACTGATGTTTTCTAACTGATTAGTACAAAGAAACCAGAGAAACACCCGTTTAGTTTCTGACTATGATCTTTTGGGATCTTCCTTTATCCATCCATCCATCCATCCATCCATCCATCCATCCATCCATCCATCCATCCATCCATCCATCTCTCTCTCTCTCTCTCTGATTGAGCAGAGAGTCATCAAGACAGAATAAGCTACCAATAGGATTACTTCTTACAATGGAAACTATTAGGTCCCTGCTGTGTCTGGCTTAAAATAGCCAGAGGAGTATACTGTAAGTAGCAAATCTCTAGCCGTATCCTTTCTGTGACCTTTAAATCCAGAATGAGAGGATGTGTCTCAGACAACACTCTCTCTACTCTCCAACCCTATGTGCTTTCCTGTGACAAAAAAAAAGCAGGACAACCAGCAACATGCTGGGTCACAGCAATCAATCCACTAATCAACCAACCAATCAATCAAACATATAATTTCCCTAGTAAATCAGCAGAGGATTAAAGCAAAGGACCGTTAGTCCAGGATCATGTTTCCAACAGAAGCTGGACAGAAAATCCCCACAAATGGAACATTGGGCTAAGTTTATCTCGCACATTGTACGGGCTTACTCTGGAGCTGCTGCTCTCGGCCCAGCCTTTCCCAATTTCACGAGCTGATCTGAGCCTCCAAACTAGAGGTCAGCTACAAGGAAATAGTCATGGCCGCCATGTTGCTACGGTGGCCATTTTGGGGGGACTGCAATCAACGTGCGTTCGAGTCTCTCCATCTTTCCAACAGATTGATATGGTTTAGGCATGTCAGGACACAGATTTAGCATTTAGTGGGCAAGACCGCTGGGATTTAGCTGGCAGAAGTCAGGGGATTGGCCATGGGTGCGTGATTAAATGTACAGCAATTATTTAAACTCTAAAGGACTTTGGGGTCAGATGGGTTAGGATTAGGATCAAGGATAAGAAGTTAGAAATAAAAGAAGGTTGCCCTCTCATAAAACATCTTTGTGTGTCTTCTTGTTACGATTTGTTTTCAAATTACCCTCCCTTCTTCTCTCCTACGTTCTCTTTTTCTCCTTCCTTTTCAAATGCCAAGCATCCCATTCTTCGCTTGTTCTTCTCTCCCAATTGGCTGAATCCTTCCTTCCTTCTTCAATGACACATGCGATTTCTATTAGATGATGATCTGGACCAGTGTTTCTCAATGATGATAGCTTTAAGATGTGCGAACTTCAATTCCCAGAATTCCCCAGCCAGCCATGCTGGCTGTGGAATTCTGGGAGTTGAAGTCCACAAGTCTTAACCGTCAAGGCAAAATTAATATAGAGGGGTGGTGTCTTACCCGATAACCTTTCCAGAAGGTTTGGATGATGAAGCCGGCTTCTTTCTCGGTGAGCAGCAGAGACAAAGGAATGGGAGGTCTAGGACTAGAAGAAATATATATTTTTATTATGTATTTATATGTCCCTATTATTTTTATACATAACTCAAGGCGGCCAATATATCTAACACACCTTCCTCCTCCTATTTTTCCCATAATAATAAACCTCTGTGTATGTGTGTGTGTGTGTGTGTGTGTGAGAGAGAGAGAGAGAGAGAGAGAGAGAGACTGGCCCAAAGTGATCCGTCTGGCCTTCATGCCTATGGCAGGACTAGAACTCGCAGTCTCCTGGAGATTGGCCCAAAATCACTAGCTGCCTTCATGCCTATGGCAGGACTGGAACTCACAGTCTCCTTGTGATTTGCCCAAAGTCACCCAGCTGACTTTCATAGCTAACGCAAAACTTGAACTCATGCTGAGGATTGTATCGCAAAATTCAAGGCATGAGGCAGTCCTGAAGGCATTGTGAGCTGGGTTTATTTCTGCCTGTGAGCGAAACAAAATTCTCCAGCATTCTGAATTCCTCAGCTTGGGCAAAAAAAATAAGATCCTTTGCTTGAAGGTTGAGATAAAGCCCTGCATTTCAACTGTTCAATCTCCCTTTCTTGTTTTCATAATTCAAGTTTTAATCTCCCAAGGCCATCAGATGAACAAACTTGGAAACTTCTTTGTCTAAAAGGACTTGGTAATTTATCTCTGGAGAAGACTCCTGCGAGTTCCCTGGACTGCAAGGCGATCCAACCGGTCAGTCCTAGAGGAGATCAACCCCGACTGCTCTTTAGAAGGCCAGATCCTGAAGTTGAAATTCAAGTACTTTGGCCACTTAATGAGGAGGAAGGACTCCCTGGAGAGGAGCCTGATGCTGGGAAAGATGGAGGGCAAGAGAAGAAGGGAACGGCAGAGAAGGAGGTGGCTGGATGGAGTCACTGAAGCAGTAGGCATGAGCTTCAATGGACTCCAGAAGATGGTAGAGGACAGGAAGGCCTGGAGGAACGTTGTCCATGGGGTCGCGATGGGTCGGACACGACTTCGCAACTAACAACAAAATTTATCACAAGGAGCATCTTACCAGCCCTCCTAATTTAAAGTTTTATCACGGAAAGAGGGAAGGGCAAAATAGTCCCAGCACGCTTCTTTTCACTCGGTACAGACAGCCGTGCACTTATGATCACAACTCAGCCCCAAATTTCTGCTAAGCGAGGCAGTTGTGATGCAGGTTTTGCCCCAGTTTACGGCCTTTCTTGCCAGTTAGGTGAATCCCTGCAGTTGTTAAGTGAATCTGGCTTCCCCAATTGACTTTGCTTGTCAGAAGGTCGCCAAAAGGGGATCACATGATCTGAGGACATGGCAACCGTCATAAATAGGAGTCGTCCAAAGTGTGATCACATGACCACAGGGAAGCTGCAAGTCGCAAGGGTGAAAAATGGCTGTTAAGTCCAGGACCACCTGTATCCATACAACCTTTTGGGAGAAACAGGTCTTCGTTTCTTTTTTTTTTCTCCCCCGTGATGTTTACTTCCTGGCCTTCTTTTATGGAGAAATATAAGCTTGCCCTTCCTAACATTGCAGTATGAATTCCATCCTTGCCTGCACCGGGCTTCGTTTTTCAAACTCACGAGGATCTGTCGATCTGTCGGGGAAACTGATCCCAGACTAAAGTAGGAACAGGAGGTATATAACTCAAGTCCGGTGGGGAAGGGCTTCGGGTCCAGAAAGCCACCCCTTCCAGTCTGAAGGAGCCCAAGTCAGCCCAGGTCCATTTTGCTCAGCTGGAATATTAATAATTGACTCGAGGTCGAATGAAAATAGACTATCAGCAGGGGCAGAAGTGGGCTGGGCAAGCGGGAATAGATTATTTGTGGCAGGAGACAGCTGGGACACCCCAAGATGAATGGGCTGACAAACCAATGTGCAGGGTGTATCAGCTGCACAAAATTAAAGGCTCCCTGCGGAGCATCCGTCAATACAGCAAAAGTACTTGGCTCGTGTGCAAACTGGATTTCCCAGACCGATCTGGCATCGCCTGGCGGATGGCTTGCTGCCTTCCTGTGCGAAGTTTTCAGCCAAGGAAACAGATCAATCTAAAAATGGGAGAGCAGCTAGATTAACTACGATCGATATCAACATATCTTCTTCTTAGTGGCTTCTACTGAGGCAATTTGATCAAAATGCCCCGGGCTGGAGAACTGTTTGGGAAAGATCACCAGAACTTGTTTATTCCTTGGCGTGGTTCCTGTTGCAGCTACTTTGAGATGCTAAATTCCATCCTGCGTATGTTTTGGGTTTTTTTCTCTTTTCCCAGAAAAACATATGCGCTGGGAGTTGTCTGCCTGGGCATATCCCATCTTCTTTGGATTCAGATTAGCTCAGGGAATCGCACACATGTTATTAAAAGAGGCATAAAGATAATTTCAGCTGCAAGCAAAGAGCAGCTATTGAATACAAGAAGTCGTGATGGGACAGATTTTGCTGGTCTGGTTTGGGAAGAAGCTAGATATATCAGATTTAAAAAAAACTGCATACAGGAAAGCCCAACCAAGTTCATTAATAATAATAATAATAATGATGATGATGATGATGATGATGATGATGATGGAAGGGACCTTGGAGGTCATCTAGTCCAACCCCCTGCAGGAAGCCCTATACCATTTTAGACAAATGGCTATCCAGTCTCTTCTTAAAAACTTCCAGTGTTGGAGCATTCACCGCTTCTGGAGGCAGGTTGTTCCACTGGTTAATTGTTCTCACTGTCAGGAAGTTTCTCCTTAGTTCTAGGTTGCTTCTCTCCTTGATTAGTTTCCATCCGTTGCTTCTTGTCCTGCCTGTCATCCAAACAACTGGGGAATAGCCTCCTATTTAGCCAATCGAAGTCCTAGTTTTTATCGGAACACTTTTGCAGAGGGGCTTTTAAATGCCTTTTCATCACAGGACCTTCTAGGAAGATTCCAATCTATGGCCCTGCCTTTGTCATCACTCAGAACTAGAGACCTATTTTTGGTTTGTACGCTGATCCGAGAGAAATTTTTATTTCCTCTCTATCGGTTTTCCCTTTAAATCATGCATTTGTAAACTTTCTTTTATCTGAGCCTTGATCAAATGTGACTCTGGCAGGAGCCAAATTTTTGGCAGCGATGTTTAGACGTAGGAAGAAACCATTTGCTGGACAGTTTGTTTCCTATGAAACATCAACATAGATGCTGTTTTCTTTTTAGTGTTGCTGGTTCTTAGGTCTTTTGTCCTAAACCTCCATTCATCCAAGTACTGGTAGTCCTTGACTTACAGCCATTGGTTTAGCAACTGTTTGACATTACAACATTGTTGAAAAAAGGGTCTTAGAACCGGCCCTCGCGCTTACAGCCTCACAACCTCCCCAGTCACACAATCAGAACTCAGAGGCTTGGCAACTGGCATGTACTTAGGATAGTTGCAGTGCCCGGGGGCCATGTGATTCCTTTTTGCAACTTTCCCAGCTGGCTTCTGACGAGTAAGGTCAACAGAGGAAACTGGATTTGCTTAAGGAGGGTGTGATTTCCCCTTAACGGCTGCCTTGATTGTTTAACAACTGTAGCAAAAAAAGTCATAAAATCAGACGTGAGCCACTTAACAACTACCTTGCTTAGCAGTGGAAATTCGCAACTTTGGTCGCAACTTGAGGACTAACTTCTGTTTGGGATGCTCCTGTGTGCAACGGTGATGTGGGGCTGGATTCGGAGAAGAACCAATTTCTAGTCCTCCTTCAACTGTAAAAACTTCCCAAGGGATTGCAGACTGCAGGTTGTCCTCTCCATACGGCAGTTTGTTTAGTGACCGTTCAAAATTACGACGGCATTGAAAAAACTGACTTATGACCGTTTTTTGACACGAGCGTTGCAGCATCGCCACAGCCACATGATCAGAATCCAGAAGCTGGGCAACTGACTTGCGTTTATGACAGTCGCAGTGTCCCGGGGTCACGTGGCCCCCTCTTGCAACCCGTCAGATTCACTTAACAACCGTCTTACTACATGAATAACTGCAGCGATTCGCTTAACACGTAGTAGGGCAAGAAAGGCTGCCAAATGGGGTAAGATGCATTTCACAAATACCTCACTTAGCGACCGGAACTTGGGACTCAATTGCGGTCGTTAAGCTGAGGACTGCCTGGAGTCCCTTTCTCCCAGGCTTCACCAGGTTGTTGTGAGAAACAATGGGAAGCCTCGGAACTCCTGAATGAAGGGCCTGAGATAATCCTGACAAATAGCTATTTCTAAACTTTGCTGGAGGAAAGAATGTGCAGGGACAGCTGCGCAGGCTATGGACGGCAGCCAAGTGAATTTACAGCAGGGGTAGTCAACCTTGGCTCTTTTATGACTCGTGGACTTCAATTCCCAGAATTCCTGAGCCAGCATGGGGGAACTATGGCCCTTTCATGATTGGTGGACTTCAACTCCCAGAATTCCTGAGCCAGCATGGCTCAGCTTGGAAACCTCTCCCTTTCCCCTCAGCATGGCTGGCTCAGGAATTCTGGGAGTTGAAGTCCACGAGTCATAAAAGAGCCAAGGTGGCCTACCCCTGGCCTAGGCCTAGGCCGCTTTATGACTTGTGGACTTCATCTCCCAGAATTCCTGAGCCAGCCATGCTGAGGGGAAAGAGAGAGGTTTCCAAGCTGAGCCATGCTGGCTCAGGAATTCTGGGAGTTGAAGTCCACGAGTCATAAAAGAGCCAAGGTTGACTACCTTTGATTTACAGCTTCGGTACAGACCTCTTTCCAAAGGGCCAAAATAGAAGCATGTCAGAAGTGATCCTCAAGGCTCTTTCTCTCTCTCTCTCTCTCTCTCTCTCTCTCCAAAAAAGACATGAAATCAGGATCATTTGTTTTCTGGCCAATTTGGCAATGGACGGTTTGGTCTGGACACAAAATAAATAAAGGGTGTTGCTGAGTAAGGGAGGAAAAAGAAGTCAGGATGTTGCCTCCAATTGCTCCTCTTTTTTCACACGCAGAACTCATTAAAAAAGGGGGGGCAGGGCTTCCATTATTTAGGGATTCAATTTAAAACATTCACACAACCGCCCATTCGGTAACCAACTCCGGGCTGCTCCCAATCCAAAGCCAAAGCAAGCATAAAAAACCCATAATAAAACCGTAAAACTGGACACGTTAAAAAAATCAGGCAAAGCACCGTTTGCCAAAATTAGCACAGTGAGGGCTGCCGTCTTGAATTTCTTGACCTTGCCTCCTTGGGTGGAGGACTCTCTATCTGCTGCAAAATTGCCCCCAGATCTCCTTGTGCAGATCCCTTGATCTGCCGTCACCCCGCCATGCCGGCGTGCGGATCCCCTCGTGGATAACTCCGCTTGTTGACGCAAATCGAAGATGCCAAGCGCGGCTTGACGTTCATTGGGGTTGACAGGCCGAACGCGCCAGCCTGCGGGGTTTCTTGTGCCGATGTTGCGAGGCGCAGCACCCTCCCCACACGTTCCCTTCCCTGAGTCAGGAGGGAGACACACAAGAGAGGGGCGGGTTGATGTGGAGACACTGGGACACGGTTGGGATTTGATTATTTTTTTTGGGGGGGGGGAGGTCTGGGATGTCTTTCTGGAGTTGCTTTCCGATGGACAAGCTGCTTGACAGCTTTCTGACAGACGTGTTGAATTAAAGAAAGGGAAAACAGAGACAAAGAAGTAGCAGCAGCAGCAGAAGAAGAAGACCTGGAAAACAGCATGCAAACACGACAGGCCCAGATGGCAAGCGAGATGTGGCTTCTCCGTTCTGTCGGAAAGGGGAAAGAGCAGAGGGTTTTGCAAAAAAAAAAAAAAAAAAAAGAACAGAAAGCCTCTTTTTAAAAAATAATTATGAGAAAGAACTGGAAAGGATAACCAAATACAAAGACCTGTAAATAGAAACTGAGTGACTGTGGCAGAAGAAAGCAAAGGGGAGTGCCAATAGCAACAGGTGCCTTGGGTGCAATCCCAAAACATCTGAAGCACCGTTTGAGCACCATCGGCATTGACACAATCACCATCGGTCAATTGCAAACACCAGCTTTACTTGGAACAGCTTACAACCTGCGACGCTACCTCTAACACCATCAAACATCCGTATCTGCCTATCCCAGATCCATGGCTGGGGAATTCTGGGAGTTGAAGTCCACACATCTTAAAATTGCCTAGGTTGAGAAACACTAATAATAGAGTTGGAAGGTCTTCTAATCCAGTGTTTCTCAACCTTGACAATTTTAAGGCATGTGGACTTCAACTCCCAGAATTCCACAGGCAGCAATGCTGGCTGTGGAATTCTGGGAGTTGAAGTCCACATGCCTTAAAATTGTCAAGGTTGAGAAACACTGTTCTAATCCAATCCTTGCCCAAACAGACTTTTCCGGACCTCCTGCTCTGATTAACTGTTCCCACAGTCAGGAAATTCCTCCGTAGTTCTAGGTTGGATCTCTCCTTGATCAGTTTCCATCGGTTGCTTCTTGTCTGGCTCCCAGGTGCTTTGGGGAACAGGTTGTCCCCTTCTTCTTTGGGGCAACCCCTCACATATTGGAAGACTGCTATCGTCTCATATCATTCATCAAATGAATGGCAGGAGAAAGGGAGCGCAAAGCCCACTCACCCATGCAAAGTTAGCCCTGGAAGGTCAAATGAAAACTGAGCAGTGACGGGAGCTGTAAAGGCCATTGAGACTTGGGGGCATTAGAATATGAAAAGGAGAAGGGATGGGGTGGGGTGGGGTGGGAAAGCCGCTTGGGCGAACACTTGACATACCAGCACCCACTTTCCGAAATCTGTTAGCGAAACCAAGTAAATAGCAGCCGCGTTGGAGGATTTGGAGACGGAGGGGGGGGGGTGGAAGCTGGAGAGAAATTCTTTGGAGTAGAGAATGAGGAGGAGGACATAAAAAGCTCTCACAAATTGGGCATTCCCCAAATCTTCACAATACCAGCTTACTGAAGTCTACAGTCACCTGAGTCAGATGCCCCTGGGAACCAGCTGGCTGTGGGCAGATGGCACACAGGAAACCACACCAAATGTGGGTGATTTCCTTTCAAGGCCCAGGCGAATTTGAATGCAGGGCCAGGCCATCTGAATATTGCACAATGTTCTTATTATATCTTACCGCCTGCCCTCTTTCTCGGCAGCGTCCTGCGAGTCTCGCATCATCCGTGACGTGCGAAAGAAACCAAGCCACTTTCTGGCTGCACTCCAACCATCTTCCCAAGGAGAATGGAGCCAATCGGTGGTCTTAGGAGCGGCATCAAACATGGAAACCCACGGGGGGGGGGGGAAGTGTCAGCGTAAAACGGAGCCTTTTGGTTTTTCTCCCAGAGAAACTTTATTTGTTTATGTATTCGATTTTTACCAGGCCTTTATTATTTTATAGGTAACTCAAGGCAGTGTGAATACATAAATACTCCTTGCGCCTCTATTTTCCCCTCAACAACAGCCCTATGAAGTGAGTTGTGCTGAGAAGGGAGTGACTAGAATTCACCGCCTCTTGGTGATCGGCCCAAAGTCATCCAGTTGGCTTTCATGCTTAAGGCAGGATTAGAACTCACCATTTCCTGGTGACTGGCCCAAAGTCACCCAGATGGCTTTTGTGCCTGTGGCGGGACTAGAACTCACCGTCTCCCTTTTTTTTTGGTCTGGAAAGACTTGGTTCCTCTGGACTGAATGGCAGGGATTCCATTATCCTATGAAATTTATTCTCTGGGGGAAACTTCTTACAATTATAAGCCACTGAGAATTACTTAGTTTAACTGGTTAATCAAATAAATAAATAAACAGCAGGGTGTGAGTCAGTTCTACCCCTATCCAAGCCACGAAAACCCCAAGCCGGTCCCTCTCTCTCGGCCCTAGGAAGGAGGCAATGGCAAACCACGTCCGAAAAGCCGTGTGAAAATTCATTTTTTGGGCCACTCCGCCTTCCCCTGCGCAAACAAACCTAATGAAAAAAACACAACTTTGCAAGGGAGTGGTGATCAAATTATTCTACCTGTCAAGAAAGAGGGTTGCAATTGTGAGGAAGAAAGAAGAAACAGAAACTGAAAAAAAGGGACAAGTTGAGTGCATTTCACTCTCCCGGGGTAAGAAGGGCAGCCAAAGATGGAACTGGTGTAAACCATGAGTTAATACTTACTGGTCCTTTAGCCAATCCTTCACGAAAGGGATCTCAAAAAATTCCACAAACGGTTCGCCTTTTCTCTTCGCATTGTGGCTGGGAGGATCAGCGGGGTGGGGAAAAGCAGACACACATAAAATGGAGAATGAAAACTAAGCATAAAGGTGGTCCTCAAATTACGGCCACCACGGAGCCCAAAATTTATGTTGCTAAGTGAGACGTTTAAGTGAGTTTTGCCCCATTTTACGACTTTTCCTGCCACAGTTGTTAAGTGAATCACTGCAGTTGTTAAAGTGGTAACACGGTTGTGAAGTGAATCTGGATTCCTCATTTTTATTCGCTTGTCAGGACCCCGGGACACGGCAACCGTCGTAAATATGAGTTAGCGGTCTAAATTCTGATCGGGTGATCGTTGGGATGCTGCCATGATTGTAAGTGTGAAAAATAGTCATAAGTCACTTTTTCAAGGACATTATAACTTCCAACGGTCACTAAACGAAGTATTATTAAGTCAAGGACTCTCTGCATTGGTCTCATGGAGGCGGGGGGGGAAGTAACGGAATTATTTTCAAATACTTAACCCTGAGCAAGAAACTTACTTGTATAACCACTCCGTGAGGAAATCAAGGGCGATAAATCTTGTCTGTTTCCTCTGGAAGAACAGAAGAGACACCAAATTCAGGAGAACAATGATGAAAACTGATAGGGACTTTTTATTTTTATTCTGCTTTTTCTCCAAAGGGCATGCTGAGATGGAAACAGCCACGTTCAACAGACAAAAAAACTGTGGGCATTCACAGGACGGCAAGGAAGGATAGGACCACGCCGGACCCTCTCTTCTCGGCCCAACCCACCTCACAGAGTGGTTGTTGTGGGGTAAATAGGAGGCAGGAAGGAGTATTGTGTGTGTTTCTCCTCTTGAGTTGTTGTTCAAAATAATAAAAGGTGGGACATAAATATTCGTGCAAATGATTATATTTACGTGCGGTCATTGCATCAATGGGAGTTATGTTATTACGGCAGTTGTACATAGATATCCCTGCATCCCACAGAGGAGTATAAGGGGTCCCGACTTGTAACCATTTACAACAGTGTTTCTCAACCTTGACCATTTTAAGGCATGTGGACTTCAACTCCCAGAATTCCACAGCCAGCATTGCTGGCTGTGGAATTCTGGGAGTTGAAGTCCACATGCCTTAAAATGGTCAAGGTTGAGAAACACTGATTTACAATGGCACTGGAAAAAAGGGACTTATGACCTGGTTCTTGCACTTACGACCTTCACACAGCATCCCCACCATCGAATGATCAAAATTTGGGCACTCTGTCTTTACGACGCAGAGGGCATCCTGGGGTCATGTGATCGCCACCTGCGACCTTCCCACAAGCGAAGTGAACGGGAAAGCTGGATTCGCTTAATGACACGATTCACTTAACAACCGCAGCGATTTGCTTAGGAACCGTGGCGACAAAAGGCTAACAGCCTTACGGTATTTATTTTTCAGGCTCTGACTGTCTTTAAAGAAGGCAAGGAGGCCGGTTCTGAGCACAGCTGGGCTGGGTTAAGCACCCCCGGATGTGCACAGGAAACCTCCCTAACAATGTGCATTGTTCAGTGGCAGATGGGCTGCCTGCTATTTTCCACAAGGAGAATAATCTCCCATTCTCGGCTGTGTTTGTGTTGCCCTCTGGAACACAATGCAGGGCATAAGATAATTCCACCACCCTGTCTGCTTTATTTTACGGAGACGCCCACTGCTGCCACAGACACTTTTACACAGTGCAGGACTTCTCATAAAACACACAACCTCACTCACACAAACGCACCCACGCTCGCTTGTTTTTATGACTGCCAATCCTGCTTTTAGCCTCGGGATATTTTGGAAGTAGCGGCTTTGCTGTGCTCTTAAAACTCAAGAACCGCCGTTCTGGCTGAATAGGACTTCAAATCCCATCATCCATTGCCAGCCTCCTGCTGGCTAAGGATGATGAGGGTTTGCGATGAAGCCCCTCTTCGGAGTGGAAGAAGTTGTGAGGCGCCATCACAACTTAAGTTTTGCAGACTTTTTGATTTGCTTAGGTCAGGGGTAGGCAACCTTGGCTCTTTTATGACTCGTGGACTTCAACTCCCAGAATTCCTGAGCCAGCCATGTTGAGGGGAAAGGGAGAGGTTTCCAAGCTGAGCCATGCTGGCTCAGGAATTCTGGGAGTTGAAGTCCACGAGTCATAAAAGAGCCAAGGTTGCCTACCCCTGGCCTAGTTCATTGGCCACCTCTCATAAAGATTCATTTTGTGTTAATACAATACAGATAGTCCTTGTGTTACGACCACAATTGAGCCCAACATTTTGGTCGCTAAATGAGACCGTTGTGAAGTGAGTTTTGCCCCATTTTACCTCCTTTCTTACTGCAGACGTTAAGTGAATCACTGCAGTTAAGTCAGTAATACGGTTGTTAAGTGAATCCGGCATTCCCCATTGACTTTGCTTGTCAGAAGATCACAAAAGGGGATCACATGACCCTGGGACACGGCAACCGTCATAAACATGAGTGAGTTGCCAAACCTCTGAACTGTGATCACGTGATCGCAGGGATGCTGCAACGGTCGTCAGTGTGAAAAACATCATATCTCCCTTTATTCGGGGCCGCTGTAACTTCAGTTTATTTATTTATTTTATTTTATTTATTTATTTATTTATGAGACTTATATACCGCTTTAAGTGCAAGCACTCTCTAAGCGGTGTACACCAGTAAGCAATGTATATATATATTTACATTGCCCCCAACAATCTGGGTCCTCATTTTACCTACCTCGGAAGGACGGAAGGCTGAGTCAACCTTGAGCCGGTGAGATTTGAACCGCTGACCTGCTGAACACAGTCAGCTAAAGTGGCCTGCAGTACTGCACTCTAACTGCTGCGCCACCTCGACTCAACAAACTGTTGTAAATCAAGGACCGCCTGTAAAAATCAAATTCTGGAAAGCCCCCAGTGCTGCTTGCTCAGCCCTCCTTAAACATGCATCGGTCTTTTCGAAATGCATCTCACAGACTAAGTGCCAATCGGCGATGAAACTAGCGTTAATTGCTGCATCTTAACTATGAAAAGCCAGTCCAGAAAAAAACAACAAAGAAGTAAAAATGGAAATGAAGGCTTAATAAGGTTAGTTTCCCTAAAAGCCGTTATTAAACCTGCAGGGAAGCAGCCTTTCAAGCCCACTAATGGGATGCTGGGAAGAACAGCTGCTTGAAAAGATTTAGCTGCAGGGCTGAAGGTTTCTAAATAACAAGGTAGAGGTAGTCTTTGTTTTACATCCTAACAGAGTTTGCCCATCACGATCGTAAGTCATAAAGCATGACAGCTGTCACATAACCATGATTTTATAACTTTTTGCTGTAGCCGTCTTTAAGTGAATGCTGCAGTTGTTAAATGAACCAATGACTTGTTGTAAGTCAAGGACTACCTTTATACCAGTGTTTCTCAACCTTGACCATTTTAAGGCATGTGGACTTCAACTCCCAGAATTCCACAGCCAGCATTGCTGGCTGTGGAATTCTGGGAGTTGAAGTCCACATGCCTTAAAATGGTCAAGGTTGAGAAACACTGCTTTATACTAAGATAGATAAGATATAAGATAAGATGATAAGATAAGATAAGATAACCTTTATTGTCATTTTTTTTACTGGGCACAATGGCACACATCAAAAAATGAGATTTAGTTGCCCGCTCTCAAAGTGAAACACATACATGACACACACCTAAAACATACTATACACAACATATGTATAGACCAGGGGTAGGCAACCTTGGCTCTTTTATGACTCGTGGACTTCAACTCCCAGAATTCCTGAGCCAGCCAGGGAGGTTTCCATGATGAGCTAGGTTGGCTCAGGAATTCTGGGAGTTGAAGTCCGCGAGTCATAAAAGAGCCAAGGTTGCCTACCTCTGGTATAGACCCACACCCCTACAAATATTTAACAAATAAATATTAAATACTGTTCGTCTTGAATATGTGCTGTGTTTCTCAAACTCAGCAACTTTGAGATGGGGGCACTTCAACTCCCAGAATTCCCCAACCACTGTTTCTGATCCCTTCATCCCAGACCTGGAAGAAACCAGGAACCAGGATTGTTCAAATGAATGCCAGTTTACTGCCAGCTCTCTGCAAGAACCTGAACTACTAACGGCCAAGGAGAATTTATGATAGGTGAGAGTCAAAGGAATTCAAAGTGTGCTGGACCTGTCGGTGTGGAGGGACACCAGACTGATTACGTGTTTGACCCTTCCCTCGGGCTCAGCCTGGTCGTAACAGAGTAACAGAGTTGGAAGGGTCCTTGGAGATATTCTAGTCTGTCTCCTACAAAAGCCATCGAGGTGTGGCTTTGTCAAGCTGATCCGGCAGTCTGGAAAGTCACACCCTTCCGGAAACAGTTTTGGGACTCACCTCAAAGCATCTTTCTTTCTTAGCTTGATGCAAAAGTTCGACCATCCCAGGAAGAAGCACTGGGAAAATGTAGCATTCCAAGAAGTCCCTGGGACTACCTGGAAAGACCGACATTTGTTTTTACAACCATGTAAATATTAAGTCTGTTCCATTTACCTGTCATATAAACCAGGGGTCTTCAAACTTGGCCCTTTGATGACTTGTGGACTTCAACTCCCAGAATTCCTCAGCCAGCGTGTCTGGGAGTTAAAATCCACAAGTCATCAAAAGGCCAAGTTTGAAGACCCTTGCTTTCTATAGTTCTTATTCCACAGATCCTCTAAAGCAGGGGTCTTCAAACTTGGCCCTTTGATGACTTGTGGACTTCAACTCCCAAAATTCCTCAGCCAGGCAGTGCCTGGCTGAGGAATTCTGGGAGTTGAAGTCCACAAGTCATCAAAGGGCCAAGTTTGAAGACCCCTGTTGTAAATAATCAGCTCTGTGGTTCAGATAAAAGGAAGATAAGCTGCAAGGACGACTTACATGTTTTTAGGTCAGGAAGCTCAGGAGGGACCAGTTCGGAAAGAAGAGACAGGGTCTTCTGGGAGAGCACTTCGTCAGTAATCACGGATCTGCTGTCATCCCCTTTCAAATCTGGCAGTGGCCCAACGTCTGCAGGAACCTGTTCAAAAGCAAAAACAAGGAGGTGAACACCCTGCTCCAATTTAAATGAATACTTAAATACACGAGTTGAAGAACAAAAAAGGGAGGAAAGTTTGATTTGTACTTCCTCTCAGTGCAACTGAGGATAATTCTTTAATATGTGTAGCTCAGGGTTGACCTGTGGGATCCTTGGTGCTTTCTGAGCTTGGTGGTTTTCTTGCAGACTTTTCACGACCCAACTAGGTAACATCATCAGTACTAGAAAGTGTGGAGTTTGCTCTCTGTTTATATCAGTGTTGGTGGGGGCATTTCCTTTTTGGTAGTTCCCTGATTGTTTATTGTTTATTTTGTTAACCTTGGTCAGTTTACTTACTTTAACAGAACACCTCCTCAATAGCAATCAAGACCCAAATAAGCAAAGATTAATACTAAGATTAACACTAGACCAACAATGTAGCAGTAAACAACACCCCAATCAAGAAACTACCAGTTGAGGCAAAGAAACAGAAAACAACAGCCTAATCAAGGAATCACCAATAATGCTCCCACCAACACTGACAGGGAAGATAAACAGAGACCAAACCCCACTGCTTTCTAGCACTGATGATGTTACTTACTTGGGTCAGAAAGACAGGAAAAAAAAACAACCAAGCTCAAAGAGCACCAAGGACCCTACACTTTAATGATAATTTCTCTGACTGGATACCTTCTACATGTATGGTATGTCTTAACTCCCAGAATTCCCCAGCCACCTTGGGGAATTCTGGAGGATGAAACTATATATATGAAATGTGCCTCAGGCAAGTTTGATCTAAGGCAGTGGTGGAGAACCTATGGCACGGGTGCCAGAGGCGGCACTCAGAGCCCTCTCTGTGGGCACGCACACGTCGCCCCAGTCCTAGGCCTTCAGCTGGGTTTTATAAAACCTTTTCGCTTTAGGCCTCTGCCGCTGTGTGTAAAAAAAAAAAAAAAAGGTTCAATCAGTCAATTTCAACTTCTCGCGGGAAAAAAAAAGATCTTGCAAAGTTGGAACTGATTGACTGAACTTTTTAGTCCCACCCAGTCTGCCATTACCACTGCGGCCATGCCCACCCAATGGGCCACACCTACCCGGCACTCAACGATGCATAAGTGGGTTTTGGGTTGCAGTTTGGGCACTCGGTCTCTAAAAGGTTCGCCATCACTGATCTAAGGGTTAGAAATGTATCTGGAATATCCTCCCGGATTGAGGCTTAGGTTCCTTGGTTTGATCCAGGCATTAGCCAAACTTATAAGGTCAGGAATTTATAGTGTATATATTTAAAAAGCCATATATATGTCATCCCAAGCTTCATTGTGGGGGAAAAACAATCATTAAATGATCATTAGGAGAAAAAAAAACAGTTCTTAATAATAAGGATTCTAGGATTTTTTTTTTTTTAGATGGGGAAAAAGGGGATTACAAAACTTAGGGAGACTCGCAATTCTTCTGATTAAGACCAGAAACTGAAATATGTAAGAACACAGAGAAAACAAGAGCCAAGTGCAGCTCAAGAGGGCTGATTTGTAAGGAGGAAGCTGGCTGCAGTGAACTGAGCTTGTCAGTTCATATTAAGACATATAATGGGCAAGCTGCAAAATGAGATTTGCTACATAGGGATGGGCTAGCCCTTAGTGGTAGACATGCATGCAGAAATATCTAAATTCAGCTTCTGGCATCTTCAGGCAAAGCTGGAGAAAAATCACGTGGAGGGATTACCAATCAGGGTTGCTGAATAGCTCAGAAGCTCAGGACAAACCCTGGTAGGCAATGTTGGTTTGGAAAGACACTACAAGCCAGGATTCCCAATTTGGAGTACCCTGAGCCCTTTAACTGACATTTTAAGGCTTCTTTGTAGGCTTCAACTCTCAGAATCCCCAGCCACACGCATATCTTGCTTGTAGAACAGTCTGTTTTTTTTTCCCCCATTGAAACTAAAATACCTCAAACATTGTAAGCTTTCAGTGTTTCTGTGCAAGTGGCCCGTGTATCTATAATAACAATCTTTTGGCAACGTTGTATGTAATATTTATCCTCTCGTGTTTTTTTTAAAGAGCATAAAAGAGTTCCAGAATTATTTTTTCAAGAAGCTGAAGAGAACCACCATCTGGATTTTTTTTTTTTTTACCTGTAAGGCAGGTGGAGGTACCTCTTTCTTTTCCAAATGATCTGGATGAACAGGCTGCTGGGCTTCGAATTCTTTTGTTTGTTTGTTTGTTTCCAAGAAAGTGAAAGAGAAAATGAAAAGGACAAAGAGAAAAGGATAAGAAATTAACTTGTGGAATCCTATTTGAAGGATGAAAGATCAAGGTTTTTAATTTGTTGCTGTTTCTGGAAGCTCTTAAAGGATTTCTCTGGCTCAATTAGGATAGCCAGGCTTTAAAGATTTATTTATAGATTAGAGATAAAATAGGGAAAATATTTTTTTCTGGTTGAACTTTTAAAGAAAATGATAAGCTACCGTGTTAAAAGGAAAACAAAGGAATGCAAAACCAATTTATCCAATTAAGGCTAAAATACCTGCTTTGAAATAATAGAAATGCATGCTATTTCTGGTAACTCAAGACTGGCTCCAAGGCACTAATCAAATCTTAATCTGGCCACTAATCAAATCTAATCTAAGCACGGGAATGCACAAACACTAATTCAGTGTTTCTCAAACTTGGCGGCTGGAAGACATGTGGGCTTCAACTCCCAGAAATCCCCAAGCGCCTGGGGAATTCTGGGAGTCGAAGTCCACATGCTTTAGGGCGGCCAAGTTCGAGGAACATTGCATGAACCAAAGCTGAAAGGAACCAAGGCTGTCGCATTCCCTTTGGAAGGGGGGGGGGTGTCTTTGCAATAAAAACGTTGTGGGCACGGACTTCTATTTCTGCTGCCCAGTCAGCCTTGTCTCCCGAAGGAGGAACACGCCCGTTTGCACACGCGCACACACACGTAGACCCTTTTGCACGCGCACACATCTATGCACGCCCTTTGGAGGGGCGAGCTGGGCTGCTCAGTTTTGGAGGCCCAGAAAAAAAGTCCTGCAAACTTTCCTGGGTCTCTCTGCCGCCACCTGCTGGTCGCTCACAGTTTTGCCGCCAGCATCCCTAAGTCAAAAAAAAAGGATTTGGGATACTTTCCCCACCATCAACACCCCGGGGACCCCCCCACGGCCCCCCCACACTTCGGCAAAGCCCCTCCAGAAGCCCCCCGGCTAGCGACTTCCATCTCCGCCCCTCCCCACCTGCGCAAATCTCCTCCCAGAGGCTCCGCAGCGGAGCCTCCTCAGCGACGGCGGCCATGGAAGGGCGCGAGCGAGCGAGGAAGCCGTTGCTAGGCGACGGCAAGCCGCGTCTCTAGGCCACGGGGCTCCCGCCGCTTTTTCACTTCCGGGTCGAGGCGGGAAGAGCTGCCTCCCCCCCACGCGGGAGAGGAAGTGCAGGGTCTCCCGCGTGGCCGCGTGGGAAGGGGCGCGAGGTGAGTGGGGAGGGGGCTTTTTGGTGGGTGGGCTGCGGGGGCGCCAGGTTGGGGGAGGGTTCCCCGGGCATTTTACTCCGGCTCTTGCAGGACTGCTGGGGTCTGGCAGGGGATCCTGGGTGGGTGAGTGCCTTGGGGCGTGTGCAGAGCGCCTTTGGGTTCAAAACAGATCCGATCAGCGGTGCAGCTGCGGGGTCCTGCGCAGCTCCCTCCGTGAATGCACCTTTACAGTGCTTGTATTTTGCACCCTTTGTAAAATAGTATTTTCTGGGGGAGGCTGGAAAGCAGGAGACGTGAGTTCTAGTTCTGCCCTAGGCATGAAAGCCAGCTGAGTGACTTTGGGCCAATAACTAGGAGATGGTGAGTTCTAGTCCCTCCTTAAGCATAAAAGCCAGCTAGGTGACTTAGGTCAATCACCAGGAGACAGTGAGTTCTAGTCCTGCCTTGGAAGCCAACTAGATGACTTTGGGCCAGTCCTCTCTCAGCCCAACCCACCTCACAGAGTTGTTCTTGTGGGGAGAAGAGGAAGGAGTATTAGGTATATTCTTGGCAACTGGCATGTACTTATGACGGTTGCAGTGTCCCAGGGCCACGTGATTGCCACTTGCGATCTTCCCAGCCAACTTCTGACAAGCAAAGCCAATGGAGGAAGCCAGTTTTGCTTAACGACTGCACGATTCACTTAACAACTGCAGTGATTTGCTTAACTGTGGCAAAAAAAGGTAATTAAGGTGGCCACAACTCACTTCTCAACGGTCTTGATTAGCGACAGAAATTTTGGGCTCCATTGTGGTCGTAAGTTGCCTGTACTTTGAAAAGACACTGGCCTTGTTTAGCATTCTGTTCCAAATAATTGCCTTTGCATATGTGTTGTGATATATGTATGCTGCTTCACAAGCGGAGATTGTTCATCATTTGTAGCAATCCTGTATCTTAAAACCTCTTATCTTTTGTGTTTTTGTGCCCCCCTCCAGAGAAGCCCCCCAAAATATGAAGAATCCTGAGCAAACAGCAAGGAAAAGGAACAAAGCTGAAAATCCTAATTGTGGCCAGGTTGTTATAATTGAAAGCCCCAAACGACGCTATTCAGATTTCGCCAAAAAAGCCAAGCGGAAAAAAATAAAATGGTTGGTAAAAGAAATCAGTTCAGAACGGCCAAATCCAAAGAAGAAACAGAGAGACTCCAAATCAAAGAAGGAAATCCGTGCAAGCTCTCCCGTGGTTATTGAAAGCAGCTCGGATTCAGAACTGTTAAGAGACGCCAAGAAAAGAAATAAGGTGTTCAAAAAAGAGAAAGACCAAAAGCTTTTCTGTACACAATTCCAAAACTCTGAGGGTGTGGATGAAGGGCAGCTTGGTATTCATTTTCACCTGGGTAAGAAATGCAGCAAGAGTATTCGTGAAGTTGACAGGCAAGAATCGATGATGAAAAGGAAAAAGAAGAAAAAGGAAAAACGAAAAGACAAATCTACCAGCCCTGAGCTTTTACACAGCAGGGACAGTGACGTGTCCGTGAAACAGATTTCAGGAAAACTGAAACCCAGTTGGCAAGAAATGCTCTCCAGTCACAAAAAGCGTAGGACCCTTGGCCAGAAAGTTGTGGGTGAAAAAGTCAAGAAGAAACACCCTGACTACTACAAGGGCGATCAAGAGAACAGCAACTGCATTTCAAAAGAAGACGTGGCCCAAAGTAGGGAAGCTGATGTGCAACAACAGGAAGATTTGGCCTGTAAATCAGAAAAAGATGGCGAAGCCACCAAGAAGAAGGAGAAGAAGCTGAAGAAAATAAGTATTGCTTCTCTTGCCTCCTTAGCCAGGCTCCAGGAAAACTGCTGCAATATTATGAGTGAATATAGCCTAAAATGCGGCTCTAAGAAAGGGGTGGGGGTCTGCGAGGCCCCTAAAGAAGTTAATAAGGCAGCCAAGAAAGAGGCGAAAAGAGAAACTGGAGGTGGAAGCCATTTTGCAGAAGCTGGCCAAGATATCTTAGCGAAGGTGGGAGCACCGGGAGGGACGGAAAAGAGAAAGAAAGCGAAGAAGCACAAAGTGGAACGAGATTGCGTGCTGAGGGGTGACCGTGACGGATTTGAGGGCAGCCAAGAACAGATCAAGAAAAAGAAAAAAAACAAGAAAGTTAAAAACTCTCATGATAGTAAGAAGAAAGCAAAGAAGAAAAAGGAAACTGAAGTGCACTTGGAATGGAGAAGACCGATGGTAATTTTTTTTAAAAAAAATTTATGGGCTAGATCTGAACTAAATTGGCACTTCGTTAATTTCAGTGGGACTAAAGCATGACTTAAAATAGTAGTACTAGTACAGCTAGTCCTCACCTTTCAAACCATTCATTTTGTGTCTGTGCAGTTAATGGCATTGAAAAATAGTGACTGACAGCTGGTCCTCACACTGTGGTCACGTGATCAAAATTTGGGCACTTGGCAACTGGCTTGTACTTAGGACGGTTGCATCGTCCCGGGATCACGTGGTCACCCTTTGCAACCTTCTCAGCTGGCGTCTGAAAAGCCAAGTCAATGGAGGAAGCTGGATCTGTTTAACGACTGCATGATTCCCTTAACAGCTGTGAATTTTATTGATTAAATTTATTGGTCTAGCTTTGAAGGGAAGATCCTCTGTGAATACCTGCAGGGAGGTTCATAAAAGACATTGAAAACCTGCTGTGTATCATTTTTTTGGGGGGGGCAAGTTCCCTTTAATAAGAGGATAGCCAACCAACCCCCTCTCCCCTCAGTCTTGTTTGTGGCCCTTGGAGCCCCCTCCTCAGGCCGCAAATGCAGATTGTAACCTAAGCGGCTTTCTTTTTTACAAAAGCACACAGACTAAAATAACAGACAAAGAAAAATAAACATAAGAGGGCAACCTGCAGTAGGAGACACTTTGCGGTACATTCCTGATCATTAATCAGAAGCCTCTCCAATTGTGGTTGAAGAGTAGCTCTGTTCCCCCCCTAATCCAAAGATCGCTGACTTATTCTTTAGAACTTTCTCTGCTTTCAATAACTGCCTTTTAAAAAAAAACCCCAGGCTTCTATCCGCTGCAATTCTGGCACAAAAACAGTCAGCGTTGCCATCATCTCAGAAACCTGGCAGTTTGAGAAAGCCGTAGGAAAAACGACAACAAAAAACTACAGGTAATATTTTGCTAGGCTAACCCTTTGAAAAGGGGCTCCAGTTTTCTGACTGTTTATGGAAGCAAAGGCTGCGTTAAATCCTATAATCCTCGCAGGAAAGTGGAATCCTTCAAGTCTGCGTTCCAGCTTCCCCTGTGGTCTTGGAAGGAGGCTGGGGAAATATTTGTTTCATATTCTGAGCAGCTGTGAAGGCCAAGAAAAAGCCCCTTAAGCAAAAGAGCTTAAATCAAGGGTGTCCGAACCTTGAGAACTTTTAAGATATTGTGGATTTCAACTCCCAGAATTTGTGGATTTCCACTTCCCCGTGGCTGGCTGGGGAATTCTGGGAGTGGAAGTCCACAAGTCTTGAAAGTTGCCAAGGTGGAATGCTCCTGGTTAAAGATTGCCTTGTTGATGGGATGAGTTGGTTGATCGAATAACTGCATTCAGCTGTAATAACGGAGAGGGGGCGCTTCCCCAGAGAAGCCATCATGCCCACAACTTAATCACAGCCCAGATATCACCAAGCCCATCCCATTCTTTGCACTGAACTCCCCGGTGTGGTGCAAATAAGCGTCTTAATACGTCCAAGCTATTTCACGCTCAGGCTGGCATTTCAAATGCCTCCACAAATGTACACTTAGCAACCTTTTCATTTAGAACGCTGAAAAGCTTCGGACAATTTTATTTTTATCTGCCCTGTCCAAGAAAGGCTGTTGTGATGGGTAGGATTATCTCTTGGCCTTTTGTGGCTTCGCAAATCTCCTGTACCCCAAGCAGTTTAATAGAAAGAAGAAGAATTGGCTATCAAATGTATCCTCTGGCCTTTTCGGCATGACAATCTTATTTAGGCTTCCAAAATGTTTGGAATTCAAGGGCTGCTAAAGAGTGGAACAGCTCAGTCAGGATTTGGATCCCATTTGGTAGGGTGCACGGGAAATGTAGCGTGACATCAGATTGGGGAGAATTACAATGTTTTTATCCTGCTGTACCCAACCCTGAAGAGGTTTCAACAGTATTATCTCTTTTAACAGTATTATCTCTTTTTTTTAAAAAAAAAAAGAAACAGGAGGCGGAAGACGAAGTGAAGCTGGTGGCATTCAGACAAGGAAACTGTGATGAAGTGAAGATAGACAAGGTACAATAATATCTTGTGGCTGTGTTGGGACCTTGTCAAAGGAGGGCTGGTTTTGATAATAAAGAGGAGAGACAGGGTGTCCATCACCTCGTCTGACCTCTTGGGATGTCCAGTGCTTCAGTTGTATTGGGTTTTTGTATGGAAGAAATGGAGGTAGTGACAGATTTTATTTTTCTGGGCTCCAAGATCACCTCAGATGGGGACTGCAGCCAAGAAATTAAATGACGCTTGCTCCTGGGGAGGAAAGCTATGGCAAATCTAGACAGCATACTAAAAAGCAGAGACATCACCCTGCCAACAAAAGTGCGTATAGTCCAGGCCATGGTTTTCCCAGTTGCAATGTATGGCTGTGAAAGTTGGACCATAAGAAATGCTGAGCACAAAAGAATGGAGGCCTTTGAACTATGGTGCTTGAGAAGACTCCTGCGAGTCCCTTGGACTGCAAGGCGTTCAAACCGGTCAGTCCTAGAAGAGATCAACCCCGACTGCTCTTTAGAAGGCCAGATCCTGAAGTTGAAACTCAAGTACTTTGGCCACCTAATGAGAAGGAAGGATTCACTGGAGAAGAGCCTAATGCTGGGAAAGATTGAGGGCAATAGAAGAAGGGGACGACAGAGAATGAGATGGCTGGATGGAGTCACTGAAGCAGTAGGTGTGAACTTAAATGGACTCCAGAAGATGGTAGAGGACAGGAAGACCTGGAGGAACGTTGTCCATGGGGTCGCGATGGGTCGGACACGACTTCGCAATTAACAACAACAACATGGAAGGGGATTTTGGATAATGCTTTTCCCCTTCTCCTCCACCACCTCTTCCCTTCTCACCTATTTAGAATCAGCTAGATTCATTAGAATAATCAGCATACACTTGTACGTACACTCAATCTGCACTAACCTCTTTACGGAGAAAATTCTGTTTGGCCGGTGAGTGCAGGCACTGGGAGGGGGAAGGGGGGGGACAACAGGACACCAGAGAATTTGAGGACCTCTGTGAAGAGATTGTGTGGTTTGCTTGGTTGTGTTTCCCTAAGTGCCGTTTTAAACCTCAAAGGGTAGCCGGTTATGCCAGTGCAGCTTTCCTTAGCTTTGCCTTCGCAGAGACCCTTCAAATAATATCAGCGTACGGTCCGCTTGTATTGCATCAACTAGGCCCTTTATTTTGGATCAAAAAGAAATATTCCTTAACGCTGTGTTTCTCCACCTTGGCCACTTGAAGAGGTGGTGGACTTCCAACTCCCAGACTTCCCCAGCCAGCAAAGCAAAGCTGGCTGGGCAAGTCCACACCTCTTCAAGTGGTCAGGGTTGAGAAGCATGGTTGTCACGCCTCTTTCCAAGTTTACTGACGTTTTCCCACCGGGGCACCGAAATCAAATCCATTCTTTCTTGCTCCAGGTGAGACGGCAAGCGCTTCAAGAAGAGATCGACCGGGAATCTGGCAAAACCAAAACTGCCAAGGAAGAACTGGTGAGCGCACACACACACACCCTTTTCTGTTTGGTCAGTTTCAGCTGAGCTGTTTAGCAACGCTGAAAAGCTTAACACACACTAGTCAACGTCCTTGACTTGATCCACCCATCTCTGCTCCGATTGGGAACCTGAGGTCGTGTCACAGGGCCAATTAGCCCAACCCTTAGAGATTCTGAAAGCAGATCAGTAGTGTGTGATTTTGGACAAATGGTAACTCTCCTCTTTGATCCTGAAAAGGGGCATTTTCCTTCTGTCCTCCCCCTATTTCCTTTAAGAGAATTAACGATTGTGTCTTTGTGCAAAAAGGACTCTTCCTGTTTATTACGGAACACAAATAGCAGCAGTTTTTGGGCCTAGCCGTCACTGGGATTTTTTTTTTTTTCTTCTTTTCACGATTGACCAGATAGTCCTCAGCTGCCTGGCTGAGGAATTCTGGGAGTTGAAGTCCACAAGTCATAAAAGGGCCAAGTTTGAAGACCCCCGGTCTACCTCTTCTTACTTTTAAAGAGAATTGAGCCTGCTAAGTTTTCTCCCTTGTTCTTCAGGACAATCGTTTGGGCCAGTGGAGCACAGCAGCATTTGAAACTCCGGAACAAAAGACGAAATTTCACAGACTGCTGGGAGGATTGAAAAAAGCCTCAGCCCCAGCTCAGCGTTCTCCAGCAAATGCTAACCAATCAAACATGGCTCTGGACCGGCCCAGAGAGCAAGTACTGCAACAAAACCTAGAAGCAGAATTCAAGAAAGCTGTGGAGTTTAAGCACCATCGAGGAATCGGCTTGGGCTTCCGGTCCGGTGCTCCATGCGGTATACACATAGACAAATACGCCTCCAAATCCATTAAATTCGAAGACTGACATGTCAGGAAGGAAAGGATAAATTGCCCAAACAGGCTGGGGGGGGGGGGGAATTAATTTTTTTTTTTTTTTATCTACAATGAAGAAAATGACTCTGGACTTTTAACTGAGGTGCTCTTTTCAAACCGATGAGAAACGGCCTCTACAAATACTTGTGATGACTACTTATGGCTAGGGTGCATATATGCAGATATATATTTGTATTGAATTGCTGCTTGGCAGGTTTAAGGGGCCACAATGGATTCATTCAGGATGGGCAGCTGAGCTACGGTCGTTTAACAGCGTAACTAAATAAGTGGCAGGTAAGAATCGGGCATATTTTAGCTCGCAGGCAGGCAACCTGTGGTTGGCCTCCAGTCCCAATTTTTCCTGCGAGTTCCCGTATTGTGCCTCTGAATCTTGTAGACAGAATGTGACATTTGTCCATTCAATACTTAGGCAAATGACTTGTGTAAATTTACGGTCCTGGCCTTGGTGTTGTGCTCTTCTGTCAGTGACTGTGTGTCCAGGGAAGAAAAGCCATCTTGTTATTTGAAAGCTACATCAATTTTATTAAAGGATTTTTTCTACAATTCATCTTTCTCAAGTGGTATCTCAGAGTAAATGTCCTACAAAGGAGATTATAATCTTTATGCTTGGCCAAGATGCATTTCTGCATGGGGCCGCCTTTGAAGACCATCCAGCAGTTGCAGCTAGTCCAGGAGACACCAGGACCTATTTGTAGTGTGTGGTCCTTAATGCTCTCTGAGCTGGGTGGTTTTTTTGCAGACGTTTCATGACCCAACTAGGTAACATCAGTGCTAGAAGAGTGGGGTTTGCTCTCTCTTTATACAGAAGTGGTTTGAGTAAAGAGTATCTAGTCAAGAAACTTCCAATGCAGAAAATCAAATAGTAAACAGCCAAGAAGAAACTCGCAAACACTGACAGGATAAGCCACCTGTATATAAACAGAGGGCAAACCCCACTCCCTGCTGGCATTCATGATGTTATCTAGTTATAATAATAATAAAGTTGGAAGGGACCTTGGAGGTCATCTAGTCCAGTGGTTCTCAACTTGTGGGTTGGGACCCCATTTGGGGTAGAACGACCATTTCACGTTGTTTCGCCAAACAACGCAGTCCTCCATTTTTTCCCCCTTTTCCTTAGCTGTGCTACTCCCTTTTATTCTATTGGCTTTTGAAAGCCAATAGGAATTGTCCAGGCTGTCTCTGCCCAGCTGAGCCCACCAAAAGTCCCATTCTGCAAACGGTGCTGCATCAGTTGAGTAGTCCTCGACTTACGACCGGTTGAGTAGTCTTCGACTTACAACCGGCTGGGGGTCGCGGCATTAAAAAGGTTGAGAACCACTGATATAGTCCAAGCCCCTGTTCAGGCAGGAAACCCTATACCATTTCAGACAAGTGGCTGTCCAGTCTCTTCTTAAAAACTTCCAGTGTTGGAGCATCCACAACTTCTGGAGGGAGGTTGTTCCACTGGTTAATTGTTATCACTGTCAGGAAAGTTCTAGGTTGCTTCTCTCTTTGGTTAGTTTCCATCCGTTGCTTCTTGTCCTTCCTTCAGGCGCTTTGGAGAACAGCTTAACTCTTCTTTGTGGCAGCCCCTGAGATACTGCAACACTGCTGTCATGTCCCTCCTCGTCCTTCTCTTCATTAAACTACTACACATACCCAATTCCAGCAGCCTTTCCTTGTATGTTTTAGCCTCCAGTCCCCTGATCATCATTGTTCCTCTTCTCTGCACTCTTTCTAGAGTCTCAACAGATTGGGTAATGAAACATCTGTAAGCAACCAACCAATCTGAGAACACCAAGAGTCCCATATCCTTTAGTCTCGTGGCCTTGTTTATTCTCCTCTGTGTCACACATCCCTCCCTTCACTTGGTATGACATCTCCTTTTCCCTTCGGACCCTTCCTCAAATCTAGCCTTAACATTTATACAAAATCAAGGTTAAAACGGAGATGAATGGCTTATTTTGAAGGCCAACTTCTGCAGTTTGGAATTTATTTTTGCTTTGTATGGAGGCATTGAACCAATCTGCACATTTTTCTCTGTACTAAAATGCTGCTCCTCCGTTCTCAAAGGATTACATCATCCAGCAATTTAAAGGCAAAAACCTCTTCACTCACTCCCTGGCAATTATAATTAAAAAGCAGATGAAGACTGCATCATAGTAACCAAGCACCATGATTACAAAAAAGAAAAAAAAACCCAAACAGCTAAGAACTGCTCAGAAAGATTAGTACTAAATATAAATGCCTCCTATCCATTGTTTTTAAAAAATGCATTTTAAAAGAAATGTGTTGTGAATAACTGATCTGTGCTGCAAACAATAGTTTCCACTACTTAACAGAATAAGACAGTTGGAAGGGACCTTGGAGGTCATCTAGTCCAATCCCCCGCTCAGGCAGGAAACCCTGTACCATTCCAGACAAATGGCTGTCCAGTTTCTTCTTAAAAACTTCCAGCGTTGGAACATTCAGAGCTTCTGGAGGCAGGTTGTTCCACTGGTTAATTGTTCTAACTGTCAGGAAGTTTCTCCTTAGTTCTAGATTGCTTCTCTCCTTGATTAGTTTCCATCCGTTGCTTCATGTCCTGCCTTCAGGGGCTTTGGAGAAGAGCTTGACTCCCTCTTCTTTGGGGCAGCCCCTGAGATATTGGAACGCTGCTATCATGTCTCCCCTTGTTCTTCTTTTCATTAAAGTAGACAGAATGTTTGGGATAGATAGACTTTGCAGGGTCTTTCCCAAATGTTAACTTTTTTCTCAACTGAGCTTTCTTGAATGGGTGGTTTCAAAGCACACACTTTAAAGACAAGAAATAATTCTAGCTTATCCCTTTCCTAAAGCCAGTAAGTACTGCCTTTCTCCTTGGTCTTGCCAACCCAAATCCTCATCTTTCTTTCCTTTGCAAGTCCGCCAAATTTGGATTTAAAAGTTATTTTTTCCACTCCGCAATGATTAAGATAGTATTTCATTGACCCAACATTAACATTAAAGTCAACGTTTTAATGATTAACAGCTGTGTAGTGGGAACAAAACCTCATTTAAAAAAAAAAAAAAAGATGACTGCATCACCAGGAAATTTTACTTTTTGTTCTCCAACCAAGTAAATCTATCGTGCACCGAGGGACCTTTTAAAGCAAAAAGATAACAAATTCTGATAATACTCTACAAGGCAGCCTGGGCATTTAAAGGGCCTGGAAAACTACCTTTTCAGGGAGGTAATTGCACGGATTGACATCCATTAAGTTCTTGACTGCAAAGGGAGCCGTAGTGCCAGCTCTGTGAAGTGGCTGAATTCAGGGTGTTTACTCTGCAGCTTGATGTATTCCAAGGTTTTGACCTAGAAAGGGGAAAAACGGAGGAAAAACAGTGAACGTTGAATTGTTCTGCATCTCTGCCTCAGCCTAAAGGGTGTTTTTAAGGTCCAGTGATTCAGGCATAAAATTATTATCCAGATTTCTTTTTTCAACAATAAAACTTGACAACTGGGTTAAGTGAAAGGCTACACAGAGGGAAAAGCTCATTGTATCAAGTCAAGGGCTTGTTTTATGAACTAAAAAAAGGTTGCAAATAGCAACAGCTCTTAGACTTATATACCGCTCCATAGTGCTATACAGCATTCCGAGCGGTTTATAAATATCAGCATCATACCTCCAAGAATCTGGGTCCTCATTTTACTGACATCGGAAGGACGGAAGGCTGAGTCAATATAGCAATAGCACTTAGACTTATATATCGCTTCACAGTGCTTTATAGCCCTCTCTAAGCAGTTTATAGAGTCAGCCTGTTGCCCCCAACAATCTGGAGCCTCATTTTACCGACCTCGGAAGGAGGGAAGGCTGAGTCAACCTTGAGCCGGTGAGGATTGAACACCTGGCAGTGAGCAGAGTTAGCCTGCAATCCTGCATTCTAACCACTACGCCACCACGGCTCTTTTCTCATCAGGGTCCCCCAGGGCCTTAGGTCTCTCCTTACTGTGGTTTTGGTGTCCGCAAAGCCGTGTTTCTGAGCCAGGTTCCACAGGTTGACGGCCAGCTGGTTGAGTTTGTTGTTCTTCAGATCAGCATGAGCCAAGAGGCTACTGAAGAAGCTGAGGGCCAGGTGACTTTGGCGCTTTAGAGTCTGCCGATAAGAAGAAGAAAAGGATTGGTTGGGGGAACAGCTAAGCAATACAGGTAATCCTTGACTTACAAACGTTCATTTATTGAGCAAAGTTCCCATGGGACTGAAGAGAGTGACAAATGACACTTAGGACCGTTGCAGCATCCCCAGTCACGTGATCAAAATTCAGGCCCTTCTGCAATCTGCATGTATTTATAACAGTTGCAGCATCCCGGGGTCATACAGTCGCTGTCTGCAGCGTTTCCAGCCGGCTTCTGACAAGTTAACATCCGTAGCCGGATTTCCTTAATGGTGATTCACTTAACAAACGTAGTGATTCACTCAACAACCATGACAGGGGTTGTAAAATCAGGCGTGCCTTGCTTAGCAGTGGAAATTCCGGGCTCAAGTGTGCTCGTAAGTCGAGGACTATCTGTATGCAAAATTGCAAATCACTTTTTACAGACTACAGGAAAGATTGGTGTTTCCTTCACAATGATTACGCCACTAGTTTCAAAGAGGTTCACCACAATCACAGTTAAAGATGTTACTCTCTTCTTGTTTGGCCAGAGTTATTTCACCAGCCAACCAATCGGTGCAGGCGAGTAGGCCATCCGGCGTCCTTCGGATGTTTGCTAATAAAGTTCCCCAATCTCTTGCCATTGGCCATATCTATTTAACACACAAATAAAGAAATCCTGGAAAAAGGACAGAGGAGTCAAAGTGTGAAACACCGAGAAGGGACCAGATGCCTAGTTTTGCAATCATACTTGCTAAATTTGGGGGGAAATGCCATGGCAAACTCAACCGAGCCCCCGTGTGGAAGACCAAAGGCAGTTTCTGAAGTCTCCCTTTGTGGGGATGTGCACTTCCCTGGGCAAAGCTTGGAAAGGAACCCAGGAAGTCCTCAGCTGAGAGTTAACCAGCCGTCTCCTCAAGCCCTGACATCCATCGAAAAATTCTTTCTTTGAGAGGAGTTGGCAAAGCGATCACGGTTGACCAGCCCCATCAATTAACATGTTTCACACTTCACTGGAACTCTCTTTAAATTCAGCCAGCCTTAACTGTCGCCCAGGGAAGGTGTGAGTTAAGTACAGAAGCAGACGGAGAAAACAAATGTAGCACCCCTGCCAAAATGCAGTCAGCTGGATTGCTGCGGTGTGCTCCACACGGGGCTTCCATTGAAGACCGTCCGGAAGCTCGAGCTGGTCCAGAGGGCAGCAGTGCAGATACAGGGAGTCCCAAAATTTCCGTCGCTAAGCGAGACAGTTCTTGAGTTTTGCCCCCTTCGTGACCTTTCTGGCCACAGTTATTAAGTAAATCACTGCAGTTGTTAAGTTAGTAACACCGTTGTTAAGTGCCTCGTTGACTTTGTCAATGCAAAAGGGGATCCCAGGACACTGCACCTGTCATAAATGTGAGTCTGTGGTCAAGTGTCTGAATTTTGATCACGTGACTGCGGGGAGGCTGCAC